CAACTTCACCAAATTTGCCCAAAAGTTCACACGAGGTGCCTAGAGGCCAGAATTGAGTTCCCTGTAGAGTCTAACTCATTACATTCAGTATCCAGTGAGAAAAGAATAATTTTAGATTTTTTACAAAATGCCACCAAAACTTCAACGTTTTCCATAGCCGGCATCATAAAAAAAGTCAGTTTTTGACCCAAAATCCAACTTCACCAAGTTTGCTCAAAAGTTCACAAGAGGTGCCTCAAGGTCAGAATTGAATTCCCGGAAGAGTTCAACTCATTACATTCAGTATCCAGTGAGAAAAGAACAATTTTAGATTTTTTACAAAATGCCCCCAAAACTTCAACGTTTTCCATAGCCAGCATCATCAAAAAAGTCAGTTTTTGACCCAAAAACCCAACTTCACCAAATTTGCTCAAAATTTCACACGAGGTGCTTAGAGGCCAGAATTGAATTCCCTGAAGAGTTCAACTCATTACATTCAGTATCCAGTGAGAAAAGAAAAATTTTGATTTTTTACAAAATGCCCCCAAAACTTCAACGTTTTCCATAGCCGGCGTCATCAAAAAGTCAGTTGTTGACTCAAAAATACAAGTTCATCAAATTTGCTCAAAAGTTCACACGAGGTGCCTAGAGGCCAAAATTCAATTCCCTGAAGAGTTCAACTCATTACCGGTACATTCAGGATACAGTGAGAAAAGAACAATTTTAGATTTTTTACAAAATGCCCCCAAAACTTCAATGTTTTCCATAACCGGCATCATCGAAAAAGTCAGTTGTTGACGCAAAAATCCAACTTCACAAAATTTGCTCAAAAGTTCACACGAGGTGCCTAGAGGCCAGAATTGAATTCCCTGAAGAGTTCAACTCATTACATTCACTCAGGTTTAATTAAGAAAAGAATAATTTTAGATTTTTTACAAAATACTCCCAAAACTTCAACGTTTTCCATAGCCGGCATCATAAAAAAAGTCAGTTTTTGACACAAAAATCCAACTTCACCAAATTTGCTCAAAAGTTCACACGAGGTGCCTAGAGGCCAGAATTGAATTCCCTGAAGAGTTCAACTCATTACATTCAGTATCCAGTGAGAAAAGAACAATTTTAGATTTTTTACAAAATACTCCCAAAACTTCAACGTTTTCCATAGCCGGCATCATCAAAAAAGTCAGTGTTTGACCCAAAAATCCAACTTCACCAAATTTGCTCAAAAGTTCACACAAGATGCCTAGAGGCAAGAACTGAATTCCCTGAAGAATTCCCTGTCCGTTTTTTCCCCCGTCTTTTCTCGGGAACGGGTAGACAGTAGGTTCATTTCCTTACAACCAGATGATTGAAAAAAGTTAAGTAAACAATCCAAAACATAAAATTTTCAGGGTTTTCAGGACCTAGTGCCCCTTTAAGTGACCCGGACCTCATTCCCAGGCTGTGCCACAGTGAAGGAATGCGTGCACAGTCTATGCAGTCGAGGTTGATACAACCGTGCAAGCGCAAGTTGCACGCTGAACAATGACGTCATACTTGAGTTATTTTTAGATCACAGCTCTCGATTGACCTCGATCTTCAGGGACTTTATGGACCTAAGTCTTCAATAAACAAGACAACGATTGGCCTGCTTCACACCACAAGCGCTACCCAACATCCAATAGCAACATTCCTTCCATTTTGGTTCTCTAAAAACCCATCGCGGAGATTTTTCGACCTTAGCTTTCCCGGCGGTGTTGAATTTTGTATCATTACTTCGCAAATTTAGCCAACAATAAAACATCACTAATACTAATAGAAGAGAAACAAGTCGGGCTTAACACTGACTATTTCGTGTAATGATACGTGCCCAACGCAAAAAGCCCATACTGTCATATGACGCTGGGCACTACACGAAACAGTCGTGGATTTGGTGCGACTTGTTTTTCTTCAATCAATGACAGGGACGTCACACACGCCCTCAAGGGAAGAGCAATGAAATGGGTGGAACAACTCGACAGACACATTGAATTGTGAGCAGTGAGTTTACAGGAATATTTTGTTCTTTTTTTTTTCAACAAATATAAAATTATTGCTTGTTGGGCAAACTTTAATAAGGGGTCTTATGGAATGTCATGAATGTGTAGATCTATCCAGGGTATTCTTTCTCATTTGTATTCTCTACTTTATCATTTTTTTTGTCATATCTGTGGTCAATCTGAGGCAATTTCTGGCCACTTTAACCCATTTGTTTGAGCAAAAGTTCATAATTTAAACTTCATTTTTGAGTAATGAGAGTGGAGTTATCGAAGCAGCTAACTTTAAAGTGGATTTTGTTCCCTTGGAGGAACCGGGCCCTACACTAACACTACAACTTCGCTCTAACTAGTCCCGCGGTTGCGTTGGACGACGTCTTCATCATGGTCATTGCATTGCAGTTTGCACTACGACTCCTCCATCATGTCCATGCTACAACTAGGCCTACTGAGTACTGTAGCTTGAGTAACTCCAGCTGAGCTGACATGCTCATACATGTCATATTCATTCACATGTGAATGAGTATGTCACTCAGCTGGAGTTACTCAAGCTAGCCTACCATGGCTACTGTTTCATAGTCCGAGTAACTTGGACCCAACTTATCGCCTTTTTTAACATTTGGGAGCAACTATAGAATGCAGGGCCACGCCGAAGCAAGGTTTTTTATTTTGCCTGGAGGCGTGGATGGAATAGGAGTAATAGATATGCAAACCTGCAAAAAAGTGCTAAGTACAGCGAAGGAATGCACTGCACTTGTCTTCAAAGCTTCTCATGAAGGATCGGAAGGGAGGACGTGCTTGTAAATGTGTTGGGTGCACTGTCTGGAGCGGCGGAGGCGCGGAGTCTTGGAGTCGCAGAATCGCGGAGACGCGGGGCACTGGAGTGGCCGCAGTGGCGGAGGCGCGGAGTCGCGGAGTCGCAGAGACGCGCACCGATAGAGGGCACAATTCTCGGCGGAATCTTTTTGAGAACGAAGCATCCATATCCATTTTAAATGGGCGGGCCAATTAGGAAGGGAGGAGGGCGACAGGGCACTGTCTGGAGTCGCGGAGGCGCGGAGTCGGGGAATCGCAGAGTCACTTTAATTGGGCGGGCCAATTAGGAAGGGGGGGGAGGGCGACGGGGCACTGTCTGGAGTCGCGGAGGCGCGGAGTCGGGGAGTCGCAGAGTCACTTTAATTGGGCGGGCCAATTAGGAAGGGGGGGGGGAGGGCGACGGGGCACTGTCTGGAGTCGCGGAGGCGCGGAGTCGGGGAGTCGCAGAGTCACTTTAATTGGGCGGGCCAATTAGGAAGGGGGGGGGAGGGCGACGGGGCACTGTCTGGAGTCGCGGAAGCGCGGAGTCGGGGAGTCGCAGAGTCACTTTAATTGGGCGGGCCAATTAGGAAGGGGGGGAGGGCGACGGGGCACTGTCTGGAGTCGCGGAGGCACGGAGTCGGGGAGTCGCAGAGTCACTTTAATTGGGCGGGCCAATTAGGAAGGGGGGGGGAGGGCGACGGGGCACTGTCTGGAGTCGCGGAGGCGCGGAGTCGCGGAGTCGCAGAGTCGCTTTAATTGGGCGCGCAAATTAGGAAGGGGGGGAGGGCGACGGGGCACTGTCTCGCCGTGGTGGAGGCGCGGAGTCGCGGAGTCGCAGAGACGCGCACCGATAGAGGGCGCAATTCTCTGCGGCTCCACGACTCCACGATCGATTTTCAGAGGTCGGTCGACTGCGGTTCCACGCCTCCACGCAGCCGTACGGAGGCGCGGATGTAGAGTAAAGTGGCCCTGCATTCTATACTGTACCAACATTTGGACATGGTCTGGCGATATCGCCAGACCATGTCCAAATGTTAAAAAGGGCGATAAGTTGGGCCTTTTTTAACATTTGGACATGGTCTGGCGATATCGCCAGACCATGTCCAAATGTTAAAAAAGGCGATAAGTTGGGTCCAAGTAATTCCTTCCTCCATGCTCGGACTAACTGTTTCAGTGTTTGTGCACAGGGTGACAATTGATGGCCAGATATGGGATTCTTTCCTAATCATTTTCTCATCTTACCTAATTTGCTGAGCAGTAACGACAGATCAACATCTGCAGATAAATTATTTGACATCTTTATTCACTCACTATCCGTATGTGCGTCTGTATCGATAGTCGATACTTCAAGCGGATCTTCTGATACGACCACGGCGCGGTCATGACAGTCGAGTCTGCTGCAGCACTTCGTGAATTCGCGCCAGGGGTAGGCTGGCCCCAATATCCAATACGTATCTCATAGCAACTGAAATTGGCAGGTTACCAGAGCTGCTCCATAACGTCCAACCACGGTGCGTTCGAGCAGCGCAACTTCATCCTCAGGATGTTGATCAGTACGCGCCCACCCCTTCCTGCTGGGGGAAATGAGGTTGGAAATAAAGTAAGCACTGGGGACGAGATTGGAGCTGATCCGTGTCGACCTGCAGGGTGAGCTAAACGATCGAACGCATGGCGCACCCAATATCACGTACATGATCATGGTGACCGTTTTAGCCGATTTTCGGCTAACTTTGACAGAATTTTTGTTCGAGTCGTGTACCTTCACAAAAAACGAGTTTGACAGAAAATTTGACAGAATGGATTTTTTGGCAGATTTCTGGCAGAATTCTGCAAAAATGGTTATTTGACAGAAAAACAGCAAATTTGAACAAAAAAGTGTACAGTTGTTTAAAAAAGCTTCAACCCTTTTAAACAAACCCTTGCATAATGGGACAAGTTGGCTGGTCTAGGTGCTGAGCTTCACTGGGAAACGGACCTCGTTGTGGCCAGATCCACGTTTTGCCCGAAATTTACCAATAATAATTTCACAACATCTTTATGTGACTAGATTGTTTATAATATAATTTGAATCTTAATTAAGGCAATACTACCAATATGCTTGTGATTTTAAGTGTTTATAGTGTATTTCGAGTAATCCTGGGGAATTTAGCAGATTTTTGATAAATCTGACAGAATTTTGATGTGCATTTAGCAGAATTTGGCTCTAACCTTACGGTCACCCTGTACATGACGAATATACGACGTCTTCCATCAAAATTTCTGATCATGTCCGCCCAGCTGGCCCACTTCTCACTTCGCATCAAGCTAGAAATCGCACCAAGCTAAAAAAAACAACTCATCTCCCGTGGCCCTGGCCGGCCCTGCATTTCTTCCTCCATGGTTGCTCCAAATTACGTACAGGTACGGTAGGCAGGACAGTCTGGAACTAGTGGAAGGGGAAAGGGGGGTCAGACATGTCAGACAAGTCGACCGTTGAGACAACTCGACTCGGGACAAGTCGACCGTTGAGACAACTCGACCGTTGAGACAACTCGACCGTTGAGACAACTCGACCGTATGTGCGATAAATGGAAAGACAAGTCGACCGTTGAGACAAGTCGACCGTTAAGACAAGTCGCCTCGCATGTTTTTGTTGCTAGTTTTGGGGATAGTCGCGGGGATTTTGACGGCGGCTGATCGACGTTTGGGAGTGATGACACACAGACACATGAGTTGTTTTTTTTGTTGGATATAACCATGATAACAGAGCCGATATAGCGCAGCCGGGCCTGTGCGCGCACTTATCCCCGGTCAGCGTCGGCCGTACCGTGTACGGTGACATCATTATGCCGGGCCTGTGCGCCCACTTGCCGCCCCGGTCGACGTGCCCGCGTGCCGGGCCGGGCCCGGTCCTCACTGGCGGGGCGCGCCGGCCCGACGCGACGGCCACCGGATTGGAGCGCCCTCTGTGCATCAAGTATGCCCGTGCCGCGCCCGAGATCGCAACTTTTTCCCGCTCCACGTGTATACATTTCCGTTAAGTCGAGCTGTGTCAACGGTCGAGTTGTCCCGAGTCGAGTTGTCTCAACGGGCGACTTGTCTCAACGGTCGACTTGTCTCAACGGTCGACTTGTTCCGAGTCGAGTTGTCTCAACGGTCGACTTGTCTGACATTCGGGGAAAGAATCTTGCGACCTGACGCCACTTCACTCATGTTCAACGGTTCAACCATGGTTCAATTCACTATTCAGCATGTTGTCTGATTTTAAAGAGGTTGTGGAATGCTCGAAGACATTTCCGTCATTTTTCGGGTATATGTGGCCTAAGGTGTGATGAAATAAAAACGACTATTGTTTCTGTCATAAAATGTGTACAAAAGGTACTTTTGAGAGCTGTTTTTCAAGTCCTGTCATGCCTGTTTCGACCCGAACATGCAATTTGTGTAAAAGTCGTTGTTGCGGGCAGCAAACAAAACACAGTAAATCGTGACGTAATAAACAGGACTCCCGATGCAGAGTAGCATAAACGAGTCCTGTTTATTACGTCACGATTTACTGTGTTTTGTTTGCTGCCCGCAACGACGACTTTTACACAAATTGCACGTTCGGGTCGAAACAGGACCTGAAAAATAGCTCTCAAAAGTACCCTTTGTACTCATTTCATGACAGAAACAATAGTCGTTTTTATTTCATCACACCTTAGGCTACATATACCCCAAAAATGACGGAAATGTCTTCGAGCATTCCACAACCTCTGTAAAGGCAATGTACATCATTCATGTCATTGGCTTTTGTTGTAGTTTTCAGAAATGAAATATTTGAGGGGTTAGTATAATCGCAGTGGCTATTGTTACGGCAGCCGTAACGCATTTCCCATTTTCTATCGTTACGGTAGCCCCACTAGTGTGGCCGTCGGTATGCTGCGCTGAACCTAAGGCCACACACCGTGGTCCGCGCACTACTGAGGACGTTTTCATAAAATTTGCAGGGAATTTCTTACATATGGTTGTATTCTACGATGTTCCATCTATCACTTCTGGGATGCTTAGGTGTAATGATGTTCAATTTTCCGAGACATTCTTGAATCTTTCTGGAGCCCATATGCACTCGTGAAACGTCCGGTGATGGCAGCCATTTTGAATGTGACAAGAGATGACCTCAAGCTGTGACGTCGTGTTTATGCAAATTGCTTGTCGAGCGAGGGCGCGAGTTGCAAATGCGACGGCTGTTTCCTGTACCATGCATTTATCGTCTGGGGGCCACGTGCACTGATCTCTATTCAGGATCTACGGCACAGGAAACAGCCATCGCATTTGCAACTCGCGCCCTCGCTCGACAAGCAATTTGCATAAACGCGACGTCACAGCTTGAGGTCATCTCTTGTCACATTCAAAATGGCTGCCATCACCGGACGTTTCACGAGTGCATATATTGGCTCCAGAAAGATTCAAGAATGTCTCGGAAAATTGAACATCATTACACCTAAGCATCCCAGAAGTGATAGATGGGACATCGTAGAATACAACCATATGTAAGAAATTCCCTGCAAATTTAATGAAAACGTCCTCAGTAGTGCGCAGACCACGGTGTGTGGCCTTCGGTTCAGCGCAGCATACTGACGGCCACACTAGTGGGGCTATCGTTACGGTAGTACTGCAACTTTTATAAAAACATGAGAAGAAAATATAAATAAGAAGGAAAAAAGTGAATTTGAACGTTATAAAATTCGGACTTTATTTCCCTTTTAAAAAAAAGCCTCCAAAGCCTAAGGTTAGAAAAGGAAAAAAATTTGAGTGCAAAACTGAGATGCGAACCCGCAACCTCGCGGTGCAAAATCCTACCCGCTATCGACTGAGCTGTCGCACTGTTCACCAAAACACGGGAAAACAAATAATTATATACCTGCGTGCGTATCAAAAAAGAATCGTTGAGGGCGCTAAAGAACGAATGCCGTAATGATAGCCACTTCGTAGTATAATAGATCAAATATTGTTACACTAACATGTTTGAAGTTTTGTGTTCGAAAATGCCGGAAAAACCAAGAAAAACAAAAATGTTCAAGCAGTCTGGTTCCCTGACTCAAGTTAAGATGAAATAGATCAATATTTATTCTGGAAAATTGTAAGGTAAGGGAACCTGTCTAGCCTGCCTGCACCTGTTCATGAACATCCAATAGCAAATTGAATTTGGACTGAAAAATGGTAAATGGTAAAAATGAAAAATAGTTAGGTTTTTCCAACGGTGGTCGGCCGACCACCGTTGGAAATGTATACAAAAATACTATTTTCTTGAAAATGACTTCACACCAGGTGCTGTAATTTACAGGATGCTTTTTACCGTCATTTACCAACATCCTAGTAAAGTATTTCGTAAAAACTTGGTAGTTTTATTTTTCGATGTTTGCAAATGTTGTATATTCCCTTTAGTGCAACGATTGTGTTATGTACGCCCCAACTACATGAACTATGCATATGGCATCGGTCGCAACTATAGTTTGGACGGTTCCAACTGTAGTTCTGCCGTTGGGCTGGCCCAACTATAGTTGGGAGTCGAGGGTGGCGCCATCTATCCTACTAGCACTAGGCCCTAGTTGGCCTAAGTACTAGTTGGGCCACTCCAATTAGTTTCTTTTGCAGTCCGAATTATAGTATTGCTTTACAACTATAAAACATTCCCTGCAGCTGCTGATACACGTCTTACTTTACTTGGGACCATTGAAATTAGCTATGGGTGGGGCCTATCTATAGTTAGACCACTATTTTTATTTTGCACTCCGAACTATAGTTTTACGTCGCTGTACGACTAGGCCCATATAAAACATTCCCAACAGCTCTTGACTTTACTTGGACCATTGAAATTAGCTATGGGTGGGGCCTAGTCGGAACATTTGGGACTCTCAATAGGCCTACTGTGTATGAGAGTCCCAAAACTTAAGGAATTGAAAACATGCAAAACAAGAAAATAGACTGGCACCTAAAACAACCAGTCCAGCACAGCTTCAGTACTGCGTCAATCAACCATGCCAAAAGAATTTAAGAAACGTGGCATGAAGCGGGAACTAGTCTCGATTTACTACGCATTTCTCCATAGTAAAGCCACCAGACTATTGACACTGAATGAATAGGTCAGTCTTTCCAAATAGTTGGACCATGGTTGGACATGTACAAGTCTAGTCTTTAGCCCCATTTTGAAATCACTTGACTTCCCTCTCATGTGCCAAACATTGAAGAAAAGTCTCCTTTAAAAATTGAATTCAGTCTGCAAACTTGGTTGGTGAAATACTGAGGACATTTTCTTTGCCCCAGTGGAATTTTTGGAGAAATTTGCTGGCTAAACTGTTAGTAAAGAGGACCTGATTTAGTTTTGCAGGTTTCAGAGCACTCCAGAGCCCTGTCTGGGTGGGGCCCATCTATGGCCACTCCAATCATTTTATTTTGCAGTCCGAACCATAGTTAACGTTGCTGTACAACTACATGTATACATACATGTAAAACATTCCCAACAGCTCAGAGCTCTGTTCATGTTGGCTGATTCATCCATGACATCCGATTCATCCAGCGCCACACGGCGAGCGTCCTAACTACAGTTGGGCCGACCCAACTGTCGCACTTCAGTTGGGATGCGTCCAGACGGTCCCAGCTATAGTTGGGATCCATGGCATAGTTGGGGCGTAACATGTACAAACAAAGTCTCTAGAGTCAAGAGTCGTTTTGGCGATCATGTGTTTGCGATCGTGTAGTGTAGGGCCCCTGTTTTGTTTTGATCAAATTAGAATCAAGAATTGTTTTTATTAGGCCAAAAAAAATGATAGTTCTGCTTCCGGTTTCCCTACTTATTACCCTATTCTGACAGCCCCTTACCCTAATTTTTTTTATGGGAAAAATAGGGAAAAAACACCCAAAACCATCAATTTCTACCTTTTACCCTTGACTTCACGCAGACGCCTCCATATGATCGTACACAAAACAAACAAAAAAATTGGCAAAAAAAAAAATGTCCCTACCTACCTACCCTATTTTCAAATGCCATGTAATCGGAAGCAGAACTTTTTTCTTTTTTTTGGCCTTACTATTAATACTAAAAAATGTATTGTATTTAGCCCCACTATTTTTCTTCTCAGATGTTGAATTTGTATGAACAAAAGCCGTTCCAAAATTTTCATTTTTGATCTTTTCAAAAGTACTTTTTTTTATTTGAATAAAAAGGGATACTGATAATGTTGTTGGGGACTCGCAAGAATTAAAGTAAGTTCAACATTTTAGTAGGGTTTTAGTCTGATAAAACAAGAAATTGAGGAAGGCAACTCTAGAAATTTTCCGTGTGTGAAAGATTATAAACACTGTCCATTGTATTTCTTTCCAGCTGTAAGAAAGTTAATCTCCACCTGCGATTCATTCACATCTGTCATTTGGATGGAACTAGTCTCATAACTAAGGATGCAGTACGGAGATACAAGGCCAACTCAGTTCAAGGTGATTTTGTTGGGGGAGGCTGGAGTGGGCAAGACATCGCTGTTCCAGAGGTTCCGCTCCAGACACATACCTTCTACGCCAAAATCTGCACTTATGCTTGATCGATACCAGTACAGTAGACAATTTGCAGTTGGTCCTGAAAGTCATCCTGTTCAGGTTGGTTTATATTGCATGTACCCCGTATGCTCAATTTTTGTGCCATTTAAAGGTATAGTCCATCATTTGTAATTGGTGCATTTTGTTCGTTTGAAGCAACAAAAGTGTTAAAAATCTAAAGAAGGGTGCTGAACAACTAACCTGATGAAGTTCTAGCTCAGCTTCAGCTGTATATTTTTAGATAAACAGCAATTTAGGATCTCGATTTCAAATCAAAAGTTGCTGAATCATGTTTTGAATTGGGCCTGAATTCGGCGTTTGAGACACGTTCTCACTGAGCCGATTGTAGCTACGCGATGTCGTGCACAGATCCGGCGAATTATAGCAACCGCGCGCGCGTGTGCGTCATGCCAACGCTTCGCTGAATAAAAAAAGAACTACTAATGGAAATGTCCAATCCTTTCGTTGATTTCTTCAAAATGACAGCTTGTCAGAGAGAATAATTTCACAGGGAGTTTAGTCCCCTTACTATCTTTCAACCAAGTATGTTTGTCAACAATAATTATGTCAGTTACTTTTTGGATAGTTGCAAATGATGGACTATAGCTTTAAACAAAGTTTTGGGAGACATCTTTTATTATATGCCCGGTTCAGACGGGCGTTCTAGAGTCTCGCCGAACCCGATAAAAGGCAAGATTTGAATTAAGAACATGAAAAGTTTGACGTCTGAAACAATTGGGAGTGACTAGACGCGTCAGATGGCGAAAGATTGACTGTTGGAGTCGATAAGAACGACTCGGGAGGGAGCGACTTGATTTAAGACGTCGCTCTAGTTATGAGCCAAAGTTATGAGCTGGTGTGCTGACATTTTCAACAAAAATGGTGTTTTTCCAACACTGGACGGCCGACCAGCATTGGAGAAAACAGTTTGTTTTTTTTCTTCAAAAACTGCTCCTAATTTTTCATAATTAGTTATTCTGCATTTTCTTTGCATTTGATTACACACCTGTGAAGGGGTACAAGCCTGCTTGTCTGATTCTCTGACCTTACAATTCCCAAAAGTCTATAAATTGCTCGGTTTCATCTTAAGTGGGGTCAGGGAACCAGACTGCAAGAACACGATTGGTTTTCTTGGTTTTTCCAGCATCTACAAGCCCAAAAAGTGAAACAAGTCATGTTAATAATATTTGCTATAACATGGTAACCCTCCATATCCATTTATTTGTGAAAATTGCAGCAAAAGCAAATGATTCCCATTAACAGTTGTGGGGTGTGTATAAGAAGTCATAAATGTATTATCTCATCATAAAACACTCATCAATGTATTGTCTTTTTTTTCATTTCAGTTAGATCTTTGGGATACAGCTAACATGGAAAGGGCACGGTCCCTCACAGAAAGCTACTTTCGAGAAACCGACGCAACCCTTCTGGTGTACGACATCGCAGATTCCGTGTCACTGAAAAGAATTCCTTACTGGCAGCAAGAGCTCAGTTACCATACATCCGACTCGACAACCAGTACATCGTTTCTCGCCGGAAACAAGATTGATTTGGAGGCTTCACAATACGACTCTGATCACACGACAGTCTCCTATGCCAGAGAGGTGATCGGGAAACAGTGTAAGGATGTGTTGGATGTCTTCGAGGTATCAGCCAAGGAGGACAATTGTGTGGAGAGGATGTTCCATGCCATAGCTGAGCATCTATGGCAATGTCATGTTAAAAAGGCAAGACAAGGAAGTGTACGTTCAAATTCAAGATTTTCTGAAGAGAATGATAAGGATTCCTGTTTTCAACTAGAGGATGGCGCAGCAAACAGGAATACTAAAGGAACAAGTGGAAAGGGTTGTTGCTGGTAACTCCTGTCCATCGCGCAGTATGTACATTTTTACCCAGTACACTGCAGCTACATGTACATTGTAGAAGCTAGCCCCATAAATGTGGCCAATTTGCTGGACTACCTCCGTAAATAAAGGCCACACTTCCACATGTACAAAAATGTGTCGAACTTTGTCAAATTTTGATTTTCACATTTAGGCTTAGTTTGTAGGGTTTTTTTGCTGTAGAAGCATACTTGCCCTCTTTATAGGCTAATCAGAAAGTGCTGCCTTTTTCAGATGTCTAATATTCATGAAATTTCACGTTGAAATTTTGATACGCAAATGTGTGCAAACGAATCTGGAAATTTCACGAAAAATAGACATCTGAAAAAGGCAGCACTTTCTGATTAGCCTATAAAGAGGGCGAGTATGCTTCTAAAGCAAAAAAAACCTACAAACTAAGCCTCAATGTGAGAATCAAAAATTGACAATATTCGACATGTTTTTGTACATGGTGGAAGTGTGGCCTTTATTTACGGAGGTAGTCCAGTAAATTGGCCACATTTATGGGGCTATGTAGAAGCTAGCAATAATGAACTGTTAGTGCCTAATTGTTTAACATTTATTGCTGTTGTATGTTGAAATCACAGTCCATGTTTCTTGTCTTTGGAATTTTTATCTGAACTGTTCCTACTGGTAGGTAATTGCATTCTTTGATAAAAGAAAATGTCTTTCATTCCTGGTATTTTTGCAAGAATCACAGGAATCAAGCAGGCAAATGCTACTTGTTTATCTGACCCTTCTATGAAGGATGTATATTGGTGGTACTGTTGAATTTGTTCAAGTTCTTGTCAATTTTGTCATTTTCATGCTGGTTTTTCGGGGTTGTTTTTGTAACAAAGATTATTGGTATTATAAGATGGAATTTTTTTGCGTCGGGGTGATATCTATCAAATTAGGTTTTTGCCCTTCACCAACGTTTAAACACTGTATACTCAGTATGTTACCTTCGGAGTGAAAGTTTGAAAAAATCACTTGGGTGGGACTCGAACCCACGACCTCCTGCTTTCTAGTGCAGATGTCTTACCACTCGACCACCGAGCTCACGGGATCGGTTTGCTGGTTCGAATCTGATGTACATAGCAGCGGGTACCGCATAAACTATTATAAGATGGAATTTTTTGCGTCGGGGTGATATCTATCAAATTAGGTTTTTGCCCTTCACCGACGTTTAAACACTGTATACTCAGTGTGTTACCTCCCGAGTGAAAGTTTGAAAAAATCACTCGGGTGGGACTCGAACCCACGACCTCCTGCTTTCTAATGCAGATGTCTTACCACTCGACCACCGAGCTAACAGGATCAGTTGGCTGATTCCATCTTATAATAGTTCATGCGGTACCCGCTGCTATGTACATCAGATTCGAACCAACAAACCGATCCCGTTAGCTCAGTGGTCGAGTGGTAAGACATCTGCACTAGCAGGAGGTCATGGGTTCGAGTCCCACCCGAGTGATTGTTTCCAGCTTTCACTCGGGAGGTAACACACCGAGTATACAGTGTTTAAACGTTGGTGAAGGGCAAAAACCTGATTTGAAGGATTATTGGGTTATATTAACCCACCCTAACCCTGCTGAATCCAACAGGATCCATCATATACCTGATGGAGCCTGTTGGATTGAGCAGTAAACCCCTTGTGTACATTCCTCATGCAAAATGTTGCATTCAGCAGGCAACTGAACCGCATTCTAACGCAATGTTGGACTCCGTTGGATTCAGCAGACAACTGAAAATAAGGCACAGTGGATTGAGCAGGAAACTCCGGTTGGACTCTTTTGGATTTAGCAGGTAGTCCTGAAGAACTACTGGAGGTTAGGGTTGGGGTTAATCAAACGTAAAATTTACTTTCACTACCTTTTGTTTTTGGCATTTACTTGCATTAGTATGAATAGACTAAAAGAATGTACTTTTTACTTATTAGCTTTTGCTAGACTATAAGCGTTTACTTGGTTTTGTAGCAATAAAAAAGGGTAAATGCTTCAGTTTTTACTGATCATTGGGCTGGGTTAGAGCTACCTTGAAAATATAAAGCAAATACTTCAACACCAAAATTGCTACCTTTATTAACCCTAACCCTCTTCAATCCTCAATCCTCCTTGTGGTTTTGGAGGATTTTGGAGGATTGAGGCTGAATGGTATTTTTTTAAATTAAGGATTTTGGAGGATCAAGGCTGAATGGTATTTTTCAGAAAAGGATTTTGGAGGATTGAGGCTGAATGGTATTTTTTTCAGAAAAGGATTTTGGAGGATTGAGGCTGAATGGTATTTTGAGGCAGGACTGTCTGACGATTTTGAAAGATTGAGGGGCTGGGTACCCTTCATTTGAACATAAGTGCAACATTTTTGGATGAGGAGGATTTTGGAGGATTGAGGATGAATGCATTTTGAGGCAGGACTGTCTGAAAATTTTGAAGAATTTAGGCGCTGTTGTTAAATTTTGGAGGATTGAGGATGGTTCCTAGCAAAAAGGGCCTAGGGGTTAGGGTTAATGTTAAATCACCTAAAATTTATTTTTTTTAAATCATAAAGTACATATAATACCATACACTTTATTTTCTTAAACTTATATACATGTACATGTATATATTTTTTATTTATAAATTTCATATTTTCATTACTAGAAGAAATGATAATTTAGCTGTTATTCACGATCTCAACAGCAGAACTGTGAAATTTTGATGCAGCACAGAAGGATTAAGGAGAAAATTTATCCAATGGCATTTTGGGTACTGAACAAAATGAAATAATCTTCCACTTTTCATGGTAATAAATCGTTTTAAACATTAATATTTGTTATACATTGTAAATATTTGAAGACAAAAAAGTTTGTATTAAATTTTGGTGTGATTTTAACGGCTGAAATAATTATTTGTCTTTTTTTTTTTTGTCCAACTGCGACTTCGTCTACATGACACTGTGGCACTTACAAGTTTCATGAAGAATACATGTACTTTCTGCATTCTGCAACTGGCGAAAATTGTCTTCATCATTTTCATCAAAATGAACTTCTGTACTGTGTATACATGTAGCACTTTGATGATTGGACTCTGTTACGCTACATGTTTATCCTTTGTGTGTGCCAGTTTGTACACACCAATACATGTACGTACACGCATTCGCGATCGGCTCAGTTAAAATGTGTCTCGGACACTGAATTCAGCCCAATTCAAAACATGATTCAGCAACTTTTGGTTTGAAATCGAGATCCCAGAATATTGTTTTCTCGGAATGTACAGCATTCACTAATGACTAAGCTGAAACTTCATCAGGTTAGCTGTTCAGCACCCTTCTTTAGATTTGCTTAAAAATGAAATGCTAAAAAGAAGACTTGTATTGGCTATGAGAATTTGGTTTGAACATGGGTTCCTAGCAGTGTCATATATTTAGAGTTGTAGGGTTGATGATGTCATCATTGATAAGAGTGCCCTCTAGTGACTGCAGGACAGTATTACTAAACAAAGTCAATATTGGAATATCATGGCCTGAAGATTATATTGGTGACTGAATTTCTCGGTGATGACATCAAACCGAAAGTTGCACAGTAAGACGGCCTTAAATCATGATGTGCCCTATTTCTTGCAAATGGTATGTAGGCGAGCAGTTACAAGTTAAGCAAAGAACGTTGGTCATTTCATCACAACTAATTGTTGACAAATTTAAATAAGGGTACATGATTCTAGGTAAAAGGTTGCAGAACAAGATTTTAATACTTATTTAGCTGACCCTGAAGACTTGAATATAAGACCTGGTTCCCTTATACTGAAGACAAACTGCACAGAAATGCCTCACATTTGTTCAAGAAACAAATGCATGTTTAGTCATGTATTTACTCCATTTTTTTTTTAAATTCAATTTCAATTCAATTTCATTTTTACTTTCTTCATCAATCCAGCATGAAATTCTATATCTCTTCTGCTTACCTGTATGCAACCATTATTCACTTGTCGCTTGATGACAAAAATGAATTCCTGCTTTAAAAACCATGATCAAATAATAATATATATGTATTTACCAACATACAGATCCTTGTCACTTGATTGGTGGCACTCTCATCATGCGACATTCATTATTGCTCCCATTCACGCCGGGGCTCAAAAAGTCCCATTCGCCCATGGTGAATGGGATTTACTATTCAACAGTTAGGATCATCCTTGTTCAGTGGAGCAGTATTTGTGTGGTAATGCATGCTGGTGTGCGCATTGAGTGTGCCCATAGCACATATTGTTCCCAAGAGCCAGTAGCTACAGAGTTGGGTTCAAATGTTTTGTGTGACGGGGCGGTTTGGAAGAGAGAAATACACGATAGAAGTTCATTTTAACTGTAAATCAAATGCCATATGTCAGTTACATGTATAAAACAAATATTGAGTGGCTTTAGATTGTGAAAAGGGAGGAATATTATCGCTCGGCAAGTCCAGATTTTACCTTGCGATAATATTCCTCCCATTCCTCTCTGAGCCACTCAATATTTGTATACCACTGCATAGGGGTTGAACAGTAATAAAAAAAATACTCTTTTCTTTGAATTGCTCAAAACCATCAGGTCTTCTTTAATCTGAAATTATCACTGCAATTACAAACGTACACTCCTGTAACTTATGTTTTTAACAGATAAAGTGACCTTATACTAACTTTTTACATTGGCATGTGCATAAGCGATTATAGGACTCAAAAAGCACAAACAGTGCATTAGTAATGTACGAGTACAGACATTTTACTTTTATTCTTAAAATGTGTTATAGGGCTCGTTCAATGACGGCCATCTCTGTAGGAGAACTGCAACTGCGTATTTTACTGAGACTGCAACCCTACTGTTCCACTTCAGTGGGCATACCAAGCTTGCTCTAAGATCCCAGTTACTTAACATCCACACAGGATGCAACTTCACACTTCATCGATTTCGCTTTTGCTACTTACGTGTTTACTTTCTTAGAGTTTAGGCACTCTCCCGAAGACGGTCAGAGCATACTGACCGGAACGTCGAGTTTATACCTCTGGTTCTTTTCAGAACCATTCTCTTAGTTGAGAAACTATTTGCACATGGGGTTGCCGCAAACCTTTCATTATTAACTGAACTGCTGCAAACTGCATGGCCTGAAATCAATCAAATTAGCTGGCCTGACTTGAACAAGACCTGCTTCCGAGGCAAAGCCCTCTGAAGGAGGACTTGTAAATACGGAAATGTCAGACCAGAATTAGAAAGGGTCAGTCTCAGTATAAATAATCTCTGTGAAAAGCAAAGACTTTCTTGCCAACTTTAATCAATGCACTTAAAAGGTACTACAGAATATGTGATGCGATCAAGCTAAATGAGTCGTTTGTCGACCCTGGTCAATTTTGTTTTATTACAGATTTGAAAAAAGCACAATCTCAGCATTACTGCTGTGAAAACCGCATGCTGGTACCATCTTTAATTAAAAAATTATTGAAGTTGGAACACCAAGAGATGTGATGAAGTGATGTGATGAAGTGGCCCTATTTTGGCCTGTATCTTCAAATAAACATTCCTGACAAACGACTCATTTAGCTTGATCGCATCACATATAACTCCAATGTGTCAATGATGATAAATTGTTATCAAGTTTTTTCTGGACGATGCTTTGATACGCAGTAAGACACCTGAGTGTCTGTGAAGGCTTTGTTTAAGGAGTTGAGGTCTTTTCTTCTGTTGTGTCCTTCTGTTCACTTGTGGCAGGTAATTGTGCGGCGCCATCTCTGTAATCTGGAAAGGTCTCCCACGGACTCGCTAGATCAAACTTGCGGAATTCCTGTGTCATCTCAATGGGCTCACAGACCACTCGCTTCAGTTCATCATCGTATCTTACCTGAAACACAACATGAACATTTTCAGGATTTCAGCACAGTAGTATGCATGGATACAAATACTCTGGATAATCAGTGCCGTACTCTAGATTTTCCCGGCTATTTTTAAACATTTTTTCATTCAAATTCACCAACTCTGACATTCTATTTTGTCAAAGAAAAAATTCACACGCTTTTAATACCAAAACCAATTTTAGTCATTTACCATTCAATTTCAAAGTTTGGTCACCCTCTTTAGTCAGCGGTTTGAATATATTCGTCATTACAGAGTCATTACAGGCTAGGCTGTTGTGTAATGGCAGCATTCAGAGATCAAATTGGTCTTTTATCAATCAATTTAAAAATTAAAAACTTGTATATGTGTTATGTATGATAAACAAGATGCACAAAATTGGTTACTCACATTACATTTTCGTAACGTGAGTAACCAATTCATCATACATAACACATTTTTCTGGATGTCATCTTTGGTGCTTAGGTAGGTCTATAGGTCTACTCTATCTACCATGGGGATAACAGTTACTAAACCTTTTCAGTAAGGTAATTACAGCCCAAGGAAACTCAAAAGTGCATCAAAAATGTAACGTGAGTAACCGTGGAATTGCCCTTAATCATTTTAATACCTCTACAAAACCACTCAAGGGGAAGTCCCTCCGCATAGGATGACCCTCAAACCCATAGTCTGTCAAGATACGCCTCAGATCTGGATGGTTGGAGAAGAACACACCATACATATCCCATACCTACAGATAAATGCAAACAACTTGAGATTTAAATGGAAGTCACTGGATAAAAAAATAAAAGGCTCATCCATGCTAACTTTTTGTTTAGAGAATTGTTCATACATGTTTGCTCACAGCCCACATGGGCACTTTAGCCTGAAATGTACATGTACAAGTTAGCAACCACAGACCAGGTAACCAAACTTTTTACTGCCATTTTTTTTGTAATGCCCATATTGCTTTTTTTATTTTTTATTATCTTATTTTGTACTTCATTATGACAGAACATAAACTGACATGGTTACTGCTCTGCTCTTTCTGTTTGAGAATCTTTCAAAGTTTGTGGCATTTTTGGGGGGCATGTCCAATCTGTATGCTGCCTGTTACTGGTTCTTTTCTAACATCAAAGGTGCACTTTTGTTCAGCGATTGCCAACATGTTGTTTCATATTGTTTACTAGTCATGCTTCAAGGATCTGCTGCAGCAGTTAAAATAATAATAACTGGATTTATAGAGTGCCAAATTGCCAAAGGATTCAAGGCACTAAACAAAGAACGAAACAGGGAAAGAAGACAAGAAAAGAGGACAGCCAAGTGTGATTTGATGAAAAGGTAGGTCTTGAGAGCCTTTTTTGAAGGACAAAACACTGCCAGAATTTCTGATGGGAACAGGTAGTGATATCTAATCCAGCAATGAATAAAACCATCAAATTTGGGGCTCCACGACCTACTTAAAGGGAATGTACAACATTTGCTTTTGCTACAGTTTTCAGAAATAACTGAATTTGGAGGATGAGTATGTTATAGCAAATATTGTTCAACTGACTTGTTTCACGTTTTGGGCTTGTAGATGCTGAAAAAAACATAGAAAACCAATCATGTTCTTGTAGTCTGGTTCCCTGACCCCACTTAAGATGAAACAGAGCAACTTGTAGACTTTGGGGAATTGTAAGGTCAAAGAATCAGTCTAGCAGGCTTGTACCCCTTTACAGGTGTGTAATCAATTGCAAAGAAAATGCGGAATAGCTAGATGTGAAAAACTAGGAGCAGTTTTGAAAAAAAGCCAGTTTTTTGCAACGCTGGTCCGCCGACCAGCATTGGAAAAATACAGTTTTTCTTGAAAATGTCAGCACATCAGGAGCCACAATTTTACAGGATGCTTTAGACTGTTATTCCCTTACAATTCAGCAAGGTATTTCGTGATAATTTGATCATTTCGTTGGTTGATGTTTGCAAACGTATCTTCCCTTTAAGACTGGCACCATGTAAAATGTGCTAATGTCAGATCCATGTCACAAAAGGTGTGACTGGAACGATGACTCGCACCCAACGGCTCAATTTCTGAGGACTAAAAATGAGTTTCAACCAAAATTACGTTGCCTTTAAATTACAATTTACATGAAAACTATTAACTTTCAAGGTACAGCTGTGGAAATGTTTAAATTCAAGTTTTAATGATCATTGAAACAATGATCATTTTGTGAAAAACCCATTTCAGAGCTAATAACGGTACATCCCTTTGACGAGAGTACCTACTTTAACCGCAACATGAATAGTTTCAACAAAGGAAATTAACTTTCTGTCAAACCTAGTTAGGCCACACAAAAAAAGTCTTCAGTTTCTGGTATTTTTTTTTTTTTCCCCTTCAAATGTCGGCTGTTGACTGCAAATGGTGCCCAACTAAATTCAGTGCAAAATATATGGGAGCCAAGAGAGGCCACATAAATAAAGCTTATATTTGATTGTAACCCCATCTAAAAACATGTTAAAATTGTGCAGCAGCAGGAGTCCAGTCGAACCAGTGAGTTTGGCAGTTTTGAGACATCATCTTACATTGAAATTTTTTTTTAAAAATTTTGCCGACGCGCATGGCTACGGCAACGCGCACGCATACCAGAAACCGGAGACTTTTTTGGGGGGCCTTATGACACATTTCACGAATGTTTCATAGTGCATAACATGCAAGTCTGGGACTTATGCAACAAATTATGTTGTAACTTACACATGTTACACAATCAAGTTTAGGTAGCGTAAGTCATTACGTAGCAACTGAAAATGAACTAGTTCAATGGCAAAACATGATCGTAGTGGAACCTGTCCTTGCTGAACTTAGCAAGGTTGATTCATTGCATACGTTGCATTGCGGTTGACGTAACTGAATTGCTTTCATCTGTCAGAGTTTTTAGAGATGCCGTACAATTCCAAAGAAATCAGACAAAAGAAATGTTTACAATGGTGGGCAGGCATGATTCAACGTCTGTTTTGTGACCAAACAGAAATTATACACAAAAAGCCACCATAAATGGGTGCTTAGGACAAATTCAGTTTCTAATAGGCACTTCCAGTGACATTGTTATCAATCGAAAATATAACAGTTTTCCCACTGGCTTCAAATTTATGATGTGATTAGGGTTACGTACGAACAGGGACAGACATTTTGTGACAAATGTCCAGTCTGTTCGTACGTATAAATCCTGATTATAAAATATCAAATAATTCCTCACATTGACTCCGAGTTTTCTAGGTTTTGACTAATAGCATTCCGCCAAGGTACATCTTCTTAAATAAGTCAACATTAGGGGATCATTAAATTTTAGGCTTTATACTTTGTGACTTTATCTAAAATGTCTGTCCTTCGTTACGTACGTAACACTTTTAAAAACAATATCCACTATATTTTCTAAAATACAAAACCAGTTATATCATTTGCAGGTGAGGATATTTGTTCGAAGCTTGCAATGTTTACAGCAAAAATTGAGAGACCAAGATCATAGTTTTATCATCAAAACTTAAAGGTCTTCTCAAATGTCACACTTTTTTGGGCCCATTAGTGAGGAATTGCCCAGATACATGTGCATGTATGGTTAGCGTGTTAGTGAACCAGTGATGATTCAACCTACCTCTCTTTCATACCAATTGGCAACTTCAAATACTGGTACTAAGGAATCGACTGGACTCAGTTCATCTGCATAGGTCTTCACTCTGATGCGTTCATTGTATTGTAACGACAATAAGTTGTAGATGAGCTGTTAAAAAGAATCAGAACAACTGAAATATGTTTATGGGTCATTAACCCTTACTCTCTGAGGGTAGTTTACTGCATGTCAGTTGGTTATGCCAATGCCCTCCAGCTGCAGTTTATTGGAGGATACTTTGATGTAGCAGTGAAGGCTCCAATTGGCAGGAGTTGGAGGCCCTGGAGGGTGCCTGATACTGACCAGCTGGGGGCACTCACTTTGTTATCAGAGGACTCTCATTGTTCTCTGTGGCATGTATTGGAATGCCTGTCCAGTTACCCTTGAAATGACATGGCAGATATTGGAGGGCCATGCAAAAAACATAGGAGATTTTCTTGAGGCACAATTGGCATGCGTTGGAGGGTCTAGTAGGGTAAGGGTTAATGCCACTAAGTTGTCTTAGAACAATCAATCTTGCTGAAATACTGAAATTGCTCAATCCGTTCAAAGAATATTGGCATTTAGATGCAATGACCCTAAAACCTGTTTCATTCCCCCCCCCAAAAAAAACAGCAGTTTATTATGTATTCTGATTGTTTGGAACAACAAAGAAAATGACACAGAATACTTGTTTCAACAACTGTCAACAACTGTAGTGCACAATATCTTTATTAACCCTTACCCTACTTGACCCTCCAATGCATGCCAATTGTGCCTCAAGAAAATCTCCTATGTTTTTTGCATGGCCCTCCAATATCTGCCATGTCATTTCAAGGGTAACTGGACAGGCACTCCAATACATGCCACAGAGAACAATGAGAGTCCTCTGATAACAAAGTGAGTGCCCCCAGCTGGTCAGTATCAGGCACCCTCCAGGGCCTCCAACTCCTGCCAATTGGAGCCTTCACTGTTAAGACTTGTTATCTGCCAAATAACTGCAGCTGGAGGGCATTGGCATAACCAACTGACATGCAGTAAACTACCCTCAGAGAGTAAGGGTTAACAACCCTGGTTAGGCAAACAATATGACTCATAGAATCCACTTTTTTTATAAAGACGGGCCTTCAAAAGGACTTTGTTGAATATTTTCAACTTTTAAACTGAGGTTTTATCGCTGGTGATGTTTCAAGACAATTGTGACGGCGATTCTCGAAATCACATTTTTGGGACGAAAGAGGTTTTAGGGTCATTTGTTTAAATGGTGATATTTTTTTGAACGGATTGAGCAATTTCAGTAATTATTTCACCTAAAAGTAGCTTATGAAATTGTCTTTCCAGTCATTATTATGTTTGGTGCTACATATTTTTTTAAAATATGAAATATGGTTTTGGGGGTTTGGGTTCCGCTTTTTTTTTACTAACCCTGTACATTATGTATGTGCATGCGTTTGGCCATTCGATCGCTTCAGTATGTACATACGCTACGATGTGCATTTGGTAAGAAAGAATTGAAGACTGACACTACAAAAACTGTTTTTTAGGTTCCTTTTAAGTTTTGATGTATCTTTTTGGCAGTTAATATAGAATTCCGTGAATTCCGTGTTGTCCTTATTTTCTGTGAAATTCTGTTCGTTTTCCGTATTGCGGAGGACTTCGGACTTTAATATACGGAAAGGAACCTTATTAATATTTGTGAGGCTTGAAAAGATTGACACCATTTGGGTCCCGCAGATTTCGTACTAAAGGGCGTCCACTGTACACTGTTTTTCAACAAAAAAATGACAGCTTCCAGAGGAGCAAGATTTTCTTTGGTAAGTGAAGAATTAGACAACATTTTGAGAAATAAAGGTCCACAAAAAATGAACGCAACCAAGAAGGCACTAAATACTGTGTAAGCGTATCTGCCCATGATTTTGAGATGCTGGATTAGCTTACGCTCAGAGCTATTTTGTCGAAGTTGGAATTGAAGAAATCCAAATATACTTCTTTCAGATTAAGTCAGCCTGATATTAATAAAAGTAAATATATTGGATGGCTTTTTCCAGGGATACAAGAATATACTGCACTCCCGAAAACAATATTTTTTGACTCGTGCAATAGCTCAAAGCCATCCAAAATTATATAAAAATGCACAAATAAAAACTAGAGGCCATCTAAATTGCAAGTTGGAAACTGAATAGACTTGGATTTAGATGGCACAAGGTTTTTTTTTAAAAGACGATCAAATTAACAGCAACTGACCTCAAACCGATGTGTTCTCGTGGGTACGTCTATCGCCGTTATATCAATCAGTGACTTGAACTGTGCATTATGGTGGTCTTTGAGAAATGTCATGACTGGGATGATGCCCTCTGGATTGATGAGCACTTCCAACTCATTGGTGTGGCTTACTTGGACTTGCTGCACATACTTGGGCAAACAATCTGCCACATATTTGCCATAATCCGCAAGTCGATTTGCTTGAAGCTCATTGCGTACACGTACTGTTGCTGCAGATGTTTTAACAACAAGAAAAATATGGGACTGCAATCGGACCAAAAAGGAGAGAAGTTGCTACGCACTAATGATGTGCAAACCCGACCCGAAACCGACCCGACCTGAAACCGACTTCGGGTCGGGTCGGTTTGTCCATCTTTTCAGTCGGGTCGTTTTCGGTGTTGCATTTTCATTTTCGGGTCGGATCGGTTTAGCCATCTTTTGTAAAAACGAAATAAACCGAAATAAACCGGAACAGTTGAGATATTTAGGTGATGCAATATTATTGACAGTCACTGTGACCGCAGGCTCGCAGCCCATTGTTTGGTGTGGCCACGGTATTAATTTCCCCAGTCGGATGGGACTGACAGTGAAATAGATACATTGACTTCTTACAAAACATACATACGTTTGACTGAAGAACCAGAGCACAGATTTCTAGTTGCAAGTTGACAAAACAGGGCACCTGAAGAACATATAAAAACAAAAGTATGTATATGTAATGTAGGCCTATAATACTCCTAGAACTATGAGGCTCCACGTAGTGGAGCCTCATAGGTTCAGAACCCCGCAAAATTACTGTCAGCACAAAACACTAATTAAGTACAAAACCGTCCATCCCAACCAAGCATTTTCCCACAGAACCGCTGCACAGTTTGCCCCTAAACTCCGTACAATACCTCATGACATACTCACGCTATGTGCACCCAACAAACATCGGTGGATTCTGTCTGTTTTTGGCAAAAATGATGAAAAATATACCCTTTCCGCACTGAGCCAACCTAACACTTGAAACGAGCACGCGCGCCCTATGATCGCAGTCATTTTCGGGTTCAATCGCTCGGAGCGCGCCGCGGGGGGTACGTACTTGCACTTGTACGCATGCGCATACTATCGTTCCGCTCCTACACCATACCCCCTGCGGCGCGCTCCGAGCGATCGAACCGAAAATGACTGCGATCATTCTGCGCCGTGCTCGTTTCAAGTGTTAGGTTGGCTCAGTGCGGAAAGGGCATATTTTTCATCATTTTTGCTGAAAACAGACAGAATCCACCGATGTTTGTTGGGTGCACATAGCGTGAGTATGTCATGAGGTATTGTACGGAGTTTAGGGGCAAACTGTGCAGCGGTTCTGTGGGAAAAAGCTTGGTTGGGATGGACGTTTTTGTACTTAATTAGTGTTTTGTGCTGACAACAATTTTGCGGGGTTCTGAACCTATGAGGCTCCACTACGTGGAGCCTCATAGTTCTAGGAGTAGGCCTATAATAAGTGGGTATGAAGCCTTCTAGTGGGACGCCCAGGGGTAATCAGACTTCTTTTTGCACTGTTGTGTAGATTTTACAGTAACTGTTTATTCATGCAGATTGTACTCCATGTATAAGCTTACTTGGCGGAAAAAAGGCACTAATTAGAGTTTCATCGTTACTAAGTATTATCAATAACCCTCCTATGCAAACATACATTCTGTGCCAAGTATATCAGTCAAAATCAAACAAATGACTGTTTTCAACAGTAATTCCCAGCCCACTCCCTCAGGATACTTTTTGTATTTTTAGAGTCATGATGATACAATAATAGCATGGTTTGAAATTGACAAATTTTGCGTGGTTTCAGATATATGGCCCAAACCACTGGACTCAACTTAGAAAATAGAAGGCTGACAGAGAGAAGCCTTCTAATTCTCAGATTCTAGAAGTAGGCCTACGAGGTGGATAGATCGAGTGGCAGGGTATTCTGCAATTGTGCCCAAAGCTGAAAGTGGCCGGTGATTAATTGCAACCAATTATGCGGTAATCAGTAATCCCAACAAGCTAAAGTTTACTAAAGCCTGGGTTTGCCGGCGGCACTCCCTATCAACAGAGGGCGCTGTACTCTCTAAGATAGGGCTGAATTATAATAAGATGTATTAAATTACCAACAACGGTTGTGTAGCACCTGTGGTCTAGTGGATAAGCAATGGATCTCATGAGCAGCATGAGCAGGAAGACCCGGGTTCGATCCCCGCTGGTGACATTTTAAAGTTTTTTTCCCCATCCCCAGTTTTTTTTCCCATCCCCATAAAATAAAAATATTCTTCTTTTATGGTAATCCTTACTTTTAGGACCCCTTTCCTATACAAGGTTAAAAGACTCACCAAAACAGCTGACTAAATGACACTCAAAAAGTGACATTCTGATATTTATTGACACATTTGAACATTTGGCAATGACACCTCTTGTCTTCAGCAGGTTTAATTTTGTAGAAAGAGGGCAGGGTTTAAATTTATGAGGGGTTAAAGATGACGATGAAAAACAGAAAATAAAATTAAAAAGCAAGATGGCGAATAGCCCGACTGCGTCTGGCCGTACAGTACTATCGCAAGCTCTGTAGTACGGCCAGACGCCCGATGCTTCCACAGAGACTGAATTTTGTTGGCCGCCGATGTAGCGATTTTGCTACATCTTTCGATCGCGATTATCTTTTCATCCAGGACACAAATTTCCAAAGTTAAGGTTCGTAGTGGTAGAGCAACTCATACCTTTTCGAAAAAACGTTGTTTGGTCTCAATATTTTCATCCATCTGGCCACAAGACGAATTTCAGTCATCAGATTCCACAAATATCGTCCCCCATGCGATCCCCCATGCGATTTCAAAATGGCGGCCGCGCTGTAATGTATGCAATATGCAGGCGCGCCCGCGCAAACTCATGAATATGCATAACAGTCTGTGACGTATGACCTCGTGTTTTTGGACGTGCGTGCGGCGGGGCCGTACGTCCAAAAACACGAGGTCATACGTCACAGACTGTTTATGCATATTCATGAGTTTGTGCGGGCGCGCCTGCATATTGCATACATTACAGCACGGCCGCCATTTTGAAATCGCATGGGGGATCGCATGGGGGACGATATTTGTGGAATCTGATGACTGAAATTCGTCTTGTGGCCAGATGGATGAAAATATTGAGACCAAACAACGTTTTTTCGAAAAGGTATGAGTTGCTCTACGACTACGAACCTTAACTTTGGAAATTTGTGTCCTGGATGAAAAGATAATCGCGATCGAAAGATGTAGCAAAATCGCTACATCGGCGGCCAACAAAATTCAGTCTCTGTGGAAGCATCGGGCGTCTGGCCGTACTACAGAGCTTGCGATAGTACTGTACGGCCAGACGCAGTCGGGCTAGATGGCGAACTGCAAAAAAAGGTAGGAAAGTCACATTTTCTTCGAAAGTGCTTTCAAAATTATAACTAACATGAGTTTGTCTGAAGAAAAAAGACTTCTTTAGCCTGCAAAAGTCACTTTGGTACTGAACAGTCATCTGCAAAAGTCAGTTTTGAACAGAACTCGTACACAATAGAGGTGTCCTAAAAGTAAGGATTACCTCTTTTATTATTTTAACATGTCTCAAACATTTTATTGTAGAGTAATATTTTCTTTTTCAGATTTGTGGCGCGGCTCAGGAGGATTTTTTTTAAAGGGAAATAAGTCCGAAATTGTAAAATGGCCTGATTCCCATCTTGTGAATACGAAGATACAACGATACTGTTGGCATGGAGCCAGACTAAAATTTGTCCCCGGAAAATGTTCAAGTACAAATAAAACAGTAACTGCGCATGTTCAGTGCATATCCGACAAGCTACTTAAGGTTTGCCGTCTCCGGCTAAATATCCACTGCCATATAAATAACAAACCTACCATGCCTACCTTGTTTTCTAACCAGATTTTTCGTGAACGTCACCACAGGTTTCACTAACATCGACGCCATTTTTAACGCTGACTATATTCAAAACACAGTGACCGTAGGTAATGGCTTATTTCTGCTAGATGCACTTCACAAATCTGCTAGATTTAACACAAATATGCTAAATCACCTATTATGGCTGTACAAACACTTTTACTACATGCAGATGTTTATAAAATTTCCTTTAACAAAAACAAAATCTTAAAACGTCCTTAAAATTAAATTGAATTTTTTTTTAATTGCACGTGTCTAGCCTGGCTTGCCAACAGTTTAAAGTACTTTAAAATGTGCACACATTTGCACGTCAGGGAACCTCAATTTAAAGCTTTTTTCAAAGCTTATCAGCTATATTTGTAAAAATTGTCAGACTTTTGTGTCAAATAACAATTTTACAGAATTCTGCTAGAAATCTGCCTACAAAATTCATTCTACTTAGTTTTCTGTCGAACTCGATTTCGTACGAAAATTTCTGTCAAATTTAGCCGAAATTCGGCTAAAACGGTCACCCAGTAAATTCAGAATATTCGTCGTCGAGTATGAGGCGCCACATACGACAGAATTTCAAGTTTAAAATATTTTTAAGATTTATGGACCGCCATCTATCTCATACAGACTAGACAAAAGGTGCACATCACAAACTCATTGGCACGCAGCTTCCGAGATAATTTCGAGCTTGTTTTAATACAAAATGACATTTTATGATTACTACTGTCAATGTTTGTATCTCACATTCATTAGGTCTTGCGCTTACTGACTTCATGTACCATATCAGGGGAATGTTCATGGCGGCTTTTTTTTCACAAGGAAAACTCTGACATGGCCCGAAGTATGCTGAATGCCATGCTATAAATTCTATCATCAAAGGAACAATTCCGACAATTTTTTTCACATATCTCCAGTAGTACTACTACTACTAGTACGCTATCCAGTCAATAGATCAGCAGCGTGGGGGTACATTTCAAACTTGAATAGGAGGCTACTCTTTTAACTTGGAACATGTTATAATGAAGACTTATTAGCTTCAAAGGGTGCTGACAGATTCCAAAACAAGGAACAAATATACAGGGTGAGGCTCTCCTGAATTGGCGAAAAATAATTTTATTTTCATGAGCACCTTGTAGATGTTCATATTGCATCCTGGGTATGGATGAAAAACAAGCAATGCACTCGGTTGATGCACAAACTTTTAACTTTTTTTCTTCAGTATTTTTTCCAAAGTTAAGTAATCATCAGTTCACCTATTAATGCACAGAATATACGACATTTTGTGTGAATACAATTCAGTTTTTAAGTTTTAAAAACAAAAGAAACAATCTTACAGACCCAGAGGAATGTGAAAGGTCAGTGTTGGAGGTGTGGCCTTGAAATCTTGATTCTGATTGTCCAAGATCGACAGGAACATAGTCTATGAGTAATGAATTAAGGGATTCCACAAAATTGTCTTTATTGTGTGTTAAGCTTTGAAAAGAAGTTTAATGAATAATAGAGGAAACCAATGAAAGTTGTAACTGGTTCACAGCCCTGCTGTAAGCTGCCATCCATACCCAAGATGCTGTGCAAATATGGAAAAGGTTATTACAAATCCAATCTATCTTTTGTGAATTCAAGAATTATCTGAACCACAGACTTCAACGAAAAATGCATGAAAATGTTTTCAGTTGTGAATTTTTGTTATTCATTTTAAGAGTGTGAAAACAAAATGTCTGGCCAACATCAGGTGTAAGTGCTTCTAGCAGCTTTCGAAGTTAGGGCCTGTAAACTCGGAAAGAATACAGTACTTCTAACGGTACACTCTAATCTTGTTAATCCCTTTGTCAACAAACTGGCCCCTGTTATCAGATACTGCTGCTAATCCCCTGCACTTGTCAATATCAGCTGTGTGACAGCACATGTGGCTTTATTACACTAAGTGTTAGGGATTATAAAGCCACGAAGGATTAAGATAGATTAGAGGGCTGGCCAGTTTACAGTTAGATTGACTGTTTTCTCTCTGAAGTTTCTAGTGGAGGTTACTCCCAATGAAATGTAGAGTGGTGGTTATAAATTTGTTGATGTCTAAACTATGGGACGATGTAGTGAGGGATAAAAAGATTCATCACATGAATAATGAAGCCTATATCAGGGTGATCAATTACTTGACAAACACTCAACATTATGATTAACAAAACAGCAAAATATTTAACAAGATTCAGTGTTTTCCAAGTTGCTGTCCAATTTTAAAAACGAATTTAAAAAATCATGCTCTGATAAATGTATATACATGTAATTTTTTAATAAGGTTTCCTAATACACACATACAATAGATGTATTGCATTACAGCATTCCCCTTGAAAGAAAGCTTGTTTATGAACCTCTGCAGCTAAATACAATAAGCCTCTGTACTGCATGACGTCACACTTTGTTTCATGTGCACTTTCCTATGGAGCCAGTGGGGGCCCACGGTCCACCGAGCACCATAGGAAAGCGTACACGTAAACAAAGTGTGACGTCATCATACAGAGGCTTATTAATTAGAGAGAATAAACATGTACATCTTTTTAAGGTCTGTGCTTTAAGTGGTTTATCCATGGGAAAGATTCCCATATCTGGCCATCAGTCATTTTTCCCTTAAATGACCTATCAGCCATCAGAAAGTGATAATACATGTATGTCCTAAACAGTCAAAATTGAAATTAGCAGGGACAAATTTTCAATTTTTACTGAGAAAATACTTCAGACCAGTTCCATAGGGTTTGTACACAGGTTGACAAGTCATGACCAGATATGTGAACCTTTCCTATCCATGATATACCAACAAGGCTAGTAGGTCTCCTTACATTACTTTACACATGTACATAATTATAAAATGATTCCACTTGTTGACTCCTCACTTCATAGTCTTCCCTCTAAAAGATACTGTAAACCTGTACAGTTAGTAACATTCTAAACTTGTGCAATATAACTCGTCATTCAAATTAACATCTTTGATCTCTATAAGCCCTTAACAGTTTACAGGGTGCATTGGGGTGCCTCATCGAGAGGCCTATAACTTGTATTTGGGCGCTTAACCATAGAATTAGACAGAGGTTAGAGGTCAGGGGCCTAAATTTTATAGACAGTTTCACAATAATGCGAGGTACTCTTTCAATTTGGAAAATTTATGGGACACACAATAATTCTATTTTGATAGTGATTTTGCCTGCATGTGATGCAAATTTCTTGTAATTAATATATGCTTCTGTATTTGTGTACATACTTCATCAAAGTACTGATGGTGTCAGTGTAACATTTTCAATTTGCAAATGTTCCCATCTCACACTGCACATGATAAACTGATGATAACTTGTTTAAGTCACCGGGTAAGTATACATGCAACAGGATATACAATTCAATGTTACTGCATTCAAAATAGTATACAGTCGAATGTCGTTAGTACAAACTCTGTTAATACAAAATTCTGGTTATAACAAACATGCCTTAGTCCCGACTGAGCATTTATGTGCACAATGAATGGGACTGATGTTCCTCTTAATACAAAATTCTGATAAAACAAACAATTTGGCTAGGTCCGAACGAGTTTGCATTAACGAGACTCAACTGTATGTCATGTGAGCCATTCTATAAATTTGGGGTCCACTTTTGTTTCCTGTCTGCGTTACCTGATGAATTTTCACTTTTTTCTGTCCCTGTTACCTGACGTTAATGAATTTATAATTCAGATTCTGATACAATCCTGTATGCAGTCATCCTCCTTGTGTGTGCAAACTACCTCCCCCAAAAAAAATTGTTTAAAACCATTCTTTAGATAACTGAATGTTAAATTACCAATCACCAAGGCAACAGGAAAAGGAAAATGTAACACTTAGGAACGTGAATTTACAGAATGACCCATTTCTGATAGGTGAAATAAACACTTTGAATAAGTCAAGGGGATTAATTAAGGAACAATTAGCTAAACGTATATTTCCTACATTTAGTAGAGTGAAACAAATACTTCAACAAAAATAACTTTCTTGTTGGTCATCAAAACAAACAATAAGCCTCTGTACTGATGACGTCACACTTTGTTTACGTGTGTGTGCTTTCCTATGGTGCTCAGTGGACCGTGGGCCCCCACTGGCTCCATAGCAAAGTGCACATGTAAACAAAGTGTGACGTCTTCGGTACAGAGGCTTTATTTATACCCTTTTTAAAGAATGATACTTTATCACTGATATGAACATCTATCCAAACTGGAGGTCTCATATTCAACATTATCAAAAGAGCATTATGCACATAGACGGGAGCCGTTTCAGTGCCAATTGAACTAACTTCTCAATGCTAATTAAAAATTACATTAAATTGTTGAGCTGTAGGTCGTAGAGTGACTAACTTTGTCATGACCGTGATTGCGGCAAGACAGATTGGTGCATCTACTTACTTATTGGACCGAATGCCGTACAAAGCTATGGTTATGCAGAGGCATAAATGTACATGTGCATACACATTCACAAATGCACGTTTTACACTCGTTCCTCAGAGTATGTTCCGCTTAATTAATGTAAACTTGGTTATGACTCGGCAATGTTTAAAAGCTCTTACAGGGTGGAAAAATTATTGTGAATATTTTGGCAATTTTGGTAAACAACTATATATGCAGTAGTATAAAATGTTGAGCGGGGAAACCTCGCCGTTGGCATCCCCCGAAGAACAATGTCAGGAGGGGGACATGTCTCCATCCCAATTTCTCCCCCGCCCCCACCCACCCTTATGATTACCACCCTGGTTCCCGCACGATCAAGAGCGTAGAAACTCACACTTGTCAGTCAGTCAACAGAGCATAGTGTGTGGTACCGTCACACACAGACATGGGCGTCGCCAGGATTTTTATTGAGGGGGGAAAATTCCTGTATTTCTCAACATATTCTCGATTTATCAGTTTAAGAGGGGGGCAGGGATATTTCCCCCCCCCCCCCCCACCCATTGAATTTACACCAATATGACTTTGGTTCTCTTCCGGAGGGGGGGGGGGGGGGGGCGTACTCGTACTCGTACTCGGAAGTACAAGTACTCGGAAGTACAAGTACTCGTAATCGGAGACCCGTTCTTGTACTCGGAGGTACAAGCACTCGTACTCGTACTCGTACTTGGCAACCTAAGTACTTGGCAGTACTCGGAAAAAACTTCTCGAACTACAACACTGTCCTCTGAAGGTAATTACCACCGAGAATACCACGTAATTTAGCCCCCAACAAGCATGTTACCCCAGGCACAGGATTCTCACTTACAAATCATGGATTGTTTCAGAATAGGACCCAACAGTTCATTGCAAATATACATGTACATTTATACGAGTTGTTATTCAACACTGTTTTAACCCCCTTTAGTTGTGAGGTACCTGTACATTAATTCTTACATTAACTAGCCAAGGTTGTCATTAGGGCAATTCCACGGTTACTCACGTTACATTTTCTATGTACTTTTGAGTTTCCTTGGGCTGTAATTACCTTACTGAAAAGGTTTAATAACTGTTATCCACATGGTAGATAGAGTAGACCTAGACCTACCTAAGCACCAAAGATGACATCCAGAAAAATGTGTTATGTATGATAAACAAGACGCACACAATCGGTTACTCACGTTACGAAAATGTAATGTGAGTAACCAATTTTGTGAGTCTTGTTCATCATACATAACAGTGATAACACATTTTTCTGGATGTCATCTTTGCTGCTTAGGTAGGTTTAGGTCTACTCTATCTACCATGGGGATAACAGTTATTAAACTTTTTCAGTAAGGTAATTACAGCCCAAGGAAACTCAAAAGTACATCAAAAATGTAACGTGAGTAACCATGGAATTGCCCATTAGATTGACAGGTGAGTCACCAAGGGTGCAGATCTGTAAATAAGACCAGAATTGCCCACGCCGGCCAAATCACGATTTGTATGCTATCGATTTTTCAGCTTTTAGAGTATTTGGAGGTTCGTAAACTTCAAGATTTGTATAAAAAAAAAAGGGGGGGAAGCTGTGCAGAGGACTGTGAGCTTGTATTACTGTGAAATTTGGGGCAAAATGAGGCCCTAAAATGGCTCTATTTTGCAATGGAGCGTAGGCATCCATTTTCAAAATGGCGACGGGCTTCAGGACTGCTTTTAGGGGTGATCATCTCTGCATGGAATTTTCTCCAAAAAGTCATCTGTTAATCCCCACAGAATGAAAAGAAAATGAAACGTGATGGGTGTCTCAAACACCTTGGAGAGTTGTGAGTATTTTTAAATAATTTTTGGAAGTACCCTTGATTACCGTTGGGGTCTATGGGAGTTGATTTTGCAGGTCTGCACCCCTAATAGTTTTTGCGAAATGGGGAAGGGATTAACAATATGTCTGCGGGATAATTCAGAAATATCCATCCAACGATTATTAAACAATGGTCACCACTTATCTCCAGCACTTGCATATCTTCGAATATGGTGCTTCATCTCTATTGTTCAAGGTGTGACGAGTATAAAAAAAAAAATTTAAGCAATAACCAAATCAACGTTTCAACCATAATCCAGTGAAAAATCAGTGACTGGATATTCAGTCGTAAGTATTTTTCCACAAATACCTTAAAACATGAAAAGGGTAAAAAGTCCGTCAGCAATTCTTGAATTCAGACAACTACAAGAGGCTTGTTTCAGTTAAATGTATCACTCTATGCTGCACAAACGTGCATTTTCACAAGCAGGTACATGGGTACTAAAAATAACAAAACCTCCATTTTGGCCACAAGAAACTACTGTTCAACTTTATGTACAGAAGTCTTCTCCACCTCATATGATTCATCAACCATTTCCCTGTGTGAAAAAAAAGAGAGAAAAAGTCACAGTTTAAAGGGAATACAGTCGAATACAGTTGTATTAAGAGGAACATCAGTCCCATTCACTGTGCACAAAAATGCACAGTCGGGACTAAGGCTTTATGTTTGTTATAACCAGAAGTTTGTATTAACAGAGTTTGTACTAACGAGATTCGACTGTATATAACATTTGCAAACATCGAAAAACAAAACTATCAAATATTTACGAAATACCTTACTAGGATGTTGATAAATGACAGTCTAAATCATCCTGTAAAATTATGGCACCTGGTGTGAAATCATTTTCAAGAAAAGTGGTATTTTGTATAAATTTCCAACAATGGTCGGCCGACCACCGTTGGAAAAACCTAACTATTTTTCAACTACTGCTCCAAATTTACCATTTTTTCAGTCCAAATTTTGTTTGCTATTGGTTACACGTCATGAACGGGTGCAGACCAGCTAGACTAGTTCCCTTACCGCCTTACAATTTTCCGGCATCTATATAAATTGATCCATTTCATCTTTAGTGGAGTCAGGGAACCAGACTACTTGAACATTTTTGTTTTGCTTGGTTTTTCCAGCATTTTTTAACACAAAACTTCAAACATGTCAGTGAAACAATATTTGATCTATTATACTAACCCCTCAAATAGTTCATTTCTGAAAATTACAGCAAAAGCCAATGATGTACATTCCCTTTAAATGAAGGCAATAGTTTACCTAATTTGTGGGCATGCAATGACATGTTGTCAGGTGGCGTAGACCCAATTTTTGACAAGATCGTGACCGACTGGTCCAAAGCACCAAACTTGGCAGATAGATTCTTATAGCCCAAGAGAAGATATTTAGAAGGGGTGACACCTGACATTCTTTTGGGAAGGGTGCCTAATTTGCATAAATCTTAAATACCTACCGCGTAATATATTTGTTCCCATATTTGGGTATATTTTTTATTTTTTTATTTTTTTGAAAAGTACATTTTGGTGATTCTACTTACATATCCTTACTTCAATAAGATTTTCTAAAGCATATAAGTGACTGAATGATTATGAGGACAAAGTAACGATCCAAAATGGGTACTATACCCTAAAGTTGCACGCATTTACCTTGTCTCCAGATAGGAATCTTGCCAAACCTCAGTATAGTATTGATGAGCTTCAAATTCACCAAGTTGCTTACTGACACAGTGACCATATTAAAACTTTATGGAAAATTATGTGAACAACGATAACATTGTGATATTTTGCCCAGAAAACAAAAATGGGAGAAAAACGAGGCGTCTGTAAATTGGGCTTAAAAAGTAGTTGCCTAAGGTGGGAGACTTGAACAAGTTCAAGGAAATTCCCCAAATTATTGGTAAGAAAACATTTTGACACAGACATAATTATTGTAAACGACAATAAGCTCTTATTTTGGGGTATTTCTTTGAACTTGTTCAAGTCCCCCACGTTAGGCAAACCTTCGTCTAATTTTGAACCCAATTTACGGACACCTAATTTTTTCCTTCTTTTTTTGAAATTTGGGTTAAATATCAAGATGTTATCATTTTTCACATGAATTCCCAATTTATGTTTGTTAGGGTAATTGTTCCAGTAAGAAACTGTGTGAATTTGAAGCTCATCAATACCGACGTTTGGCGAGACTACTTGATATCAGAGGAAAAGGTAAATGCGCGCAATTTGAAGCTGCCGGTACTGTTGTGTACGCACTAGGACTGGTCAAAGGCTACCGGTACATGCACATGTATCTCCATTTCACTTTTCATCTCCTCAAACCCACGCCATATTTTATTGGACCCACTCTTTGGGTGACCAACAGGGGTTTTTTTTGGCCCCCCCAAAAATTGTGTTCTGGATCCGCCCTTGGTACTGTGTGATGATGCACAGATGCAGCTGTGGCAACTACCGTATGTTGTGAATTTAGGACTATGAAATACTGTCTAACTGGTAGTATTGCGCGTGCCTAAGTGACGTTGTGAGTGTTCCAACAAATAAAACGGTACAAGGCACTGGATTTCATAGGAGTCATGTGACACTGGAAAAGTGTTTAAGACCAGCCAGCCATGTCTTTATCATCCGTTTAAGACCGGCCACGTGACAGGCTCTCGACCAATGGGAATGGGTAAACTGTCTTAGGTATTTATGAATGTCATTATTTACTAACTAATGTTTCAGGACATGAACATCTTGGATTAACAACACCAGGAGTCTTTGATAAGCCTGTAAATAAATACCTAAGACCATTTACGCATTCATATTGGTTGAGAGCCCGTCACGTTGTCGGTCTTAAACGGATGATAAAGACATGGCTGGCTGGTCTTAAACACTTCCCCAGTGCCACATGAAGTTTGGACTCCCATGAAATCCGATCCCTTTTAACGTTTCATTGGTTGAACGTTCACATTCCTCACTTTTGCATGCGCAATACTACCAGTGAGTCAGTATTTCATAGTCCGAAATTCACACTACACCAGCCCAGCTGCGTTTTGTGCGACATCGCGCAGTACGCGCGACGCGCACGCCAATGTCCTTATAAGGTAACGAGTTGTGGAGGGGCATTCCATATTATAGTCAGAGGGGTGTTTCATAAAACATGAAGTAAAATTGTGGAACAAAATGGTTGGCAACGTCTAGTTTTTGACATGTTCTGATTTTTGGACCGAAAAGATTTTTTTTGACCGAAAAGGTATTTATGAATAGGAATAAATATGTGTTTGGTCGGTATTAAACACTCTGTTTAAGACCGGTGGGAGTTTGGCTTCGCCTCGGGTAATTATCACCCATCCAGACTCAAACCGGTCTTAAAGCTATAGTCCATCATTTGCAGCCATCCGAAAAGTAACTGGCGTAATTACTGTTGAAAAACAAACTTGGTTGAAAGATAGTAAGGGAACTAAACTCCCTGTGAAATTATTCTTTCTGGGAAGCTGTCATTTTGAAGTAATCAACGAAAGAAGGCATTTCCAACGGTGATTCTTAAGAAGCACCGTAGGAAAATTTAAATTAGTAGTTCATTTTGTTATTCAGCGCAGCGCGCAGAAGTATTGGAACGACGCACACGCGCGCGCGGTTGTTATAATTCGTTGGATCAGTGCGCGACACCGCGTATAGCTGCAATTCAAAACAATTCAAAACATGATTCAGTAACTTTTGATTTGAAATTGAGATCTTAGAATGCTGCTTTTCTCGGAATGTACAGCTGAAGCTTAGCTGAAACTTCATCAGGTTAGTTGCTCAGTATCCTTCATTAGATTTTGAACACTTTTGTTGCTTCAAACGAACAAAATGCACTAATTACAAATGATGGACTATAGCTTTAAACAGAGTGTTGTAATACCTCCCGAACACACATTTATTCCCTTATTACTCTAACGAAGTGACAAAACTTACCTGATTAATTGGATGAGCAAACAATATGGCTGCTGACCTAGTCTGCTGGATGCTCAGGGCATGACCGATTCCTCTCAAACCACATGTCAATACAACTGTAAACACAAATAAATATACAATTTACAATTGAGTCATTTGTGGTGATTCCAACATTCTTAGAAAAATATAATCTGACAGAGCTCCTGAAACTCCTTGGATATTTGTTTACACTCAGCATGGTGACCTTGACCTTTGACCCCAAAACTAATCCCAACTTGCCTGTACTCAAGGGCAACCCCCTACCTAAGTTAGACACCAAAATCTCATTTCCAACTCAAGTTATCATCCGGAAACTAAGCAGCCCGGACGTCCGTACAGACAAACAGACATCCCAGCCAGATGGACTTCCTGTGTACCTCCATTGTTGTCCCATTGTCCCTATTTCTAAAGATTTCGTTGCGGGGTACCCTTTTTCTAAAGATTTTATTTGCGGGGTACCTCAAACAAAGGACGGGTACCCCACAAGTGGTTTGTGGTAAGCACAGACGCAGTGACATATGGACAGACGCCGTAGGCGATGACAATACCCCTGGAGCCTCTCGGCTGAGGGGTAAAAATAGTGCAGCAAGTGAGCCCTCAGGTTTTGGCGTGGTGCAGCAGTCTGGCTGCAGCAATTACTGAGAATCTTTTATGTAAGGTACTTTATAAACAACCACACAAATGTAACAGTCTCAGACGGTGGTCACATCTTACGGTCATGAACGTAGTTAAACGTAGTAAGGTGTGACCCAAGTTGACCAGAGTAGACCCTAGTAGTCGAAGTTAAACGTAGTTCAACATAGTTAACCGTAGTTATGAACGTACTTTGACCTTGAGGAAAGCCATGATTTGGCCGTAGTTAGCCCAAAAGTTTTCAACATGTTGAAAATATTTCTACGGTCAGCTTGAATGCCTATACCGTACTGTGACCCTAGTATGTACATAGTTAACCCTAGTTGACCCTAATTGACCCTACTTGACCGTTGTGTTGACCGTAGTTGACTGTAGTAATAATAAATGATTTGGCCGTAGTTAGCCCGACATGTTGAAAATATTTCTACGGTCAGCTTGAATGCCTATACCGTACTGTGACCCTAGTATGTACATAGTTAACCCTAATTGACCCTAGTTGACCCTACTTGACCGTAGTGTTGACCGTAGTTGACCGTAGTAATCATGGCACTACGGTCGAGGTACGGTCAACTACAGTCGAACTAAGTTTGAAGTACGTTCACAGTACGGTTAAGTACGATAAGTAGGGTTAACTTGCAGGCATGTCAGAAGTAGAAAAGGAGAAAAAAAAAAAAATCAGATACATAGTAACAAACAGCAATCTTATCTCTCCGACTTCTCAAAGCGCAATGGCTGTCCCAACGCCGTGGCCGACCCGCACTAAGCAGACGCGGTCGCAAGCTTTTACCGTAGTACAACGTAGCTGACCCTAGTTGACCATAGTTGCACGTAGTACATGTACAACGTAGCTGACCCTAGTTTACCATAGTTGCACGTAGTACAACGTAGCTGACCCTAGTTTACCATAGTTGCACTTAGTTCACATGTAGTTCGACTGTAGTTCAACGTACATGTAGTTGACCATAATAGGACGTAGTTCAACCCTAGTTACCCTAGCTGATTTGACCGCAAATCAACGTAGTTGACAGTAGTTGCACGTACTTCACCCTACTTAAATGTTCTTCATATTTGCTCTTTTGCCAATTTTGAACCTACTTCGACCCTACTTCACCCTATTTCACCCTAGTTGACCATAGTTGCACTACGGTCAACTACGGTCAAGAGAACTACATTCACCTACGTTCATGACCGTAAGATGTGACCATCGCATAAGGAAGTGTGAACAAGTTTATAATCATGTAATTGTAACACAGCTCATATTCCACTCTGAAATTGATCTAACCTTTTATGATAAATACATAGGCACGGTAGTCTTGCTATAGTGTCACCCTGCTGCATATCATCAAGGCATATGACACACTCTCCAGCATCAACTGAAAGTACATCCTCTGAAAAGAAAAAGATAGAAATGTTAGGTCTGCTTTATGAAAAGAGCAGAAGATTTTGAATTTCAGCTCGAACTTTCTGCAAAAAGTGTTGTCAAACATAACTAGAATTGTTCAATTTAGCAAGAATTGAAACAATTCCTCCCCTGCAGTCAAGGCTATGAAAGAATACTTCCCAGCATAGCATATTTATTATATTTTAACCATTGGTTTGACTTCACTATTTTAGCCACCCAAAAGCTGAGTAAATTAAATTAATTGACAGAAACACAACATTTTACTATGGTATTAAATCCATACAAAATACATTTGAACAATTCCCTTCCCCAGGGGATCAGTTAAGCTTTATGATCTTTAACCCTATCCATCCCTAATCCTCCAAAATCCTTTTTGCAAATTGGAGGAATTTGCAGGATTGAGGTTACATGGCAAAAGTGCATTGCTGATTTCGGAGGACGCACTGTGTCAAGGTCTTGGGCCCGACCTTGTGTTGTTTATGCTCAGCCATGCATACATTTAGTCCTTGATTATGCTTGAAAGCCTCTGTACTGCTCCAGGCTGTCACAAGCCTCAACATATTGACAGTCATTGCCGGAGGATTTTGCAGGATTCAGGCAGTGGTCATCCCTCCAAGAACCACATCAAGAAATAATGGAGGATTTCGCAGGATTGAGGCTATGCTATTTTTCCATGAGGCCAATTGGAGGATTTTGCAGGATTCAGGTTACATCCTAGCAAAAATGCCTAGGGATTTAGGGTTAAGCAACTTGAAGCCCCGATGGACGAGCAGAAATCTGATCCATAAAGTATATATTCAAGGAAAATGGAAGAACAGTGTGAAGAAGGCAAGTCCACTCAACAAATTATGTGTCGATTCAGTTTGACAGGCGATAGTACATTGTATAATCAGGATTACATGTACATACATGTAAGCAACTAAAATATCCTCTGATTTTACCCACGCTTTATCATCTAGTGTGACTCTGGTTTGGGGTTTTGTTTTCACTTCTGCATAAAAATACAAAGATCCTAAGACAAGATAAGTTTGAGGTAGCACCATTTGAATAAGTCTCTTTTGTGAGTATGTGTGGTTCTGAAAAGAACCGGAGGGAGTCAACATTTCAAACAGTATGCTCTGCCCGTCGTCAGGAGAATGAGGGATTCCAACAATGATGCAAAATATAGGAATGGGTGCGGTGAGGCGTGAGAAGGATGCAAACTGGTGAAGCTCGAAACCGGTGAAGCTGAGAAGGATGCAAGTTGACTGAAGGATGCTGGATGATCACTGGAGCGTGTCAGTACACAGTGAGGGGGCAAAGGGGAAGGAGCTCAGGGTATAGGTGACCCATAGGCGAGAACTGAACCTAAGTTGTCCTAGGGTATAGGCGACCCATCGGACTTGGACTTGAGGATGGGATGCAGATGTCGCTGATGTAGAAACCGATGTCTTGGGGAACAGTGCTATGCTTGATGATCTCGATGGCTTCTCTGATACGTCGGGGGTACCAGCGGTCGATGCTAGTGAGTAGTTCTGCTTGGGTTCCAGTTAGTATCTCCAGTTCACCAGTTTGCATCCTTCTCACGCCTCACCGCACCCATCCTTATAACATCGCATCATCGTTGGAATCCCTCATTCTCCTGATGACGGGCAGAGCATACTGTTAGAAACATTGAGTCCCTCCGGTTCTTTTCAGAACCACACATACTCACAAAAGAGATTTATTCACATGGTGCTACCGCAAACTTATCTTGTCTTAATACACGGTCATTGAATGTGCGCTGTTTCTGAACTTACATGTGCACGCATTAAAATAATACAGCACACATATGATTTTGAGTATCTGTCATATCAGTCAACATGAAAGGGCTGGTAAATTTGCAGTGCTGACCTCCCCACATACCGGTACCATGTTATACTTTTTAACTACTTTAGCCATACATGTACATGTACTTACCATTATATACAATTCTTGGTTTGGTCAAACATATTACCAAATGGCACTCAACATCATCTGATGGCACAGATTTCGAACAGACTGGGCACTTTATACCTAACAACACACAAAAAAAATAACATTTCAGTTACAGCATACATCCATAGGTAAGATTTGCATAATTTGTTGTGTTTAAGTGTAAAGCATATTGCAAATGAAGTTACGATATTTGCAATTTGTAATTCCTCTCAGTCAATTCATCATAAGCTTTTTTTCAGTCCTGACCCCACTACAGCATCATCCCAAATGTAGTTGGGACTTTCCCAACTATAATTGGGTCATTGCTACATGTACAGTTTGGTTGAATTCAACCTCGTCCCCTGGGCTCACTTTATTTTCAAACTCATTTCCAATAACTAGTGCAGGGCCCGTCAAAAAATGCACTTGTTCGGTAGGGGCAATTTCAAAATGCTCATATCATGCAAACAACGCACACGATTCAATTGTGTTGTTTTCACAGGTTAAACTCACACTCATAGGTTGAGCGCACTTTGTACATGTCGCCAGGCCATCCCCGGCACTGATATTCACCCATACGCCCGTGCAGCTACTCACGTACGTGAGTTCCAGAAATACTCTTAACAATAATTGCCCTACAATGCGTGTGCCCATCCTTTTTCCATTGTTGCGTCATATTAAGCACGCGTGCTTTTGCTCAAACATGACGTAAACAATTGAAAAGAACAGCAGTGCGTGGTGTATGTTCTAAGCTATATACCAGTGTTGTAGTCGAGACCGGATAGTCCGAGACCGAGACCAAGACCGAGACCTGAAGATTCGAGACCGAGACCGAGACCGAGACCAGCCCCTTCAAGGCGGACCGAGAACGAGACCAATATGGTCCGAGACCGAGACCGAGACCGCTGATAATAAATAACAATAGTCGAAATAAAAAAAACAAGACACGTTATTATAGTTGAAAAATGTAACCTTTCTATTCACAAAGAATACAGACCAAAATTTTGACCAGTGGCAGTGTTGACAAATTGATACATGACACCTTACTTGAGCAAAAAGTAGTTACACTTAAGAAATATGGGCTTTGACATGTTGTCCGCACCCAATCGTGACAAAAGTAAAAAGTTAAAGGTAGATGTTTCATCTGTTATAGGAACTCGGATCCTAAACTCCACAGTCACCCCTTGGTCTCAGCTATGACTTCTAACGGATATTTAAAGATGCAATTTTAATTTCACATTGCCTCTTTTTTCCTAAAATAAATTTAGGACTTAACTTCTAACAAGACTTGTGTACTTGATTTTAAAAAATAGGAGCTAGAAAATGTTGAATTAATTTTTAAATTTTTGTCATAGAATGTGAACTTGTACATGTAGACCCACAAGTTGCGAGGTGGTAGCCAGAATGTGCCAGATATGGATTTTTAATTTTTTTCTGAACGGGATTTTAATTTTTGAGGAATAATGGGGTACTTCAAAATGCGCAGCCAGAAAATGGGGTCTCATCATACACTATCATGGTAACAGTGAGTGGTAACTGGTAAGAGTGTGTGAGTTCAATGCTGGAAAATCAGGTAGGAAAATTTACTTTTTCTTCAAAATACTGTCCCAAATTAAAGAGAACATTGTGTGGGGTCGAAAATATAACTAATTTGAAGCACCTCGTTTATTATCAGAATACAAAATGCAAGTGATTACGCCCACAGGGGTGGGCTAAACTACACAATCCCCGAAAATGGTTGACCCTTATTGCATAAATTGTTACATGTTTATACTTTGCTTTATGTGGCCGACTCAACAGATAAATGCCGAACTTGTTCCAAATCGTTCAGTGACTGGTACTGCTGCAGCTTTACATGTACTTTGGGGACTTTCCAACGTGCAGTCGAGTCCAAACCGACCGCGATATATAACAAGCTTGATCTACGGGCTAGCAAATGTTTTAAATAACAACGGTACTGAACGAAGTGAACACAAAGTAATCGATCGAGCTGTAAAAGCTACATATTGCCGGTCTCGACCCGAGATCAGCCAAAATATCGAGACCAAAGGGGACCGAGACCGAGACCAAGACCGAGACCACAGCTTCCGAGACCGAGACCGAGACCGAGACCAGCAAAAAGTGGTCTCGAGACAACACTGCTATATACTGTCACGTTGAGGCTCAGAAAATGCTGCTTTTTTGCAGCTTTTTCGAGAACCCGTAGTCCAAACATCAAACTTTGCACTGCACATTCTGCTATCCTGAGCAAAACACCCGCCGATTTACAACTTCATACGGTGCCCGGTTCTGGAGATAATCGGCGGACAGACAGACAGACCGACAGACGGACGTTCTAGCCAGACGGACTTGTGGGGTGATAGCATTGTGTTCCCATTATCCCTTTTTCTAAAGATTCCCTTCTGGGGTGATGTTTTTCCATTGTGTAAAAAGTGGGGTGATGTGTTCTGAAAGGAACATCACCCCACAAGGGTGGTCTGGTCAGAACAGACAGACAGCCCGACAGACAGACAGACAGAGATTCCTTGAATTATAGTATAGATAAGTCCTGGATGGGAACTTACTTCCTGTATCCTGTTTCCATGGCGCAGTTACCGGGTAGCAGGTAATTGATTTATATAGTGAACTGTTATTTCCAACGTGCATTACGTATTTTCATGTTCATTTTAATTATTACAAAGATGTTGTTATGATGAAATGAAGCGAGCTGCATATTTTTTTTTTTTTAATTTGCAATTGGGTCACTTTCTTTTGACTCACCCTGTACATGATCTTTTGAACATTCTACTTTCTTCATAGATTTAATAATAGCATGATACCCAACCTCGTCCCCAGGGTGTCGAGCAGTACGCGCCCACCACCACCACCTGCTCTCTCACCCTGGTATTGGATCATTTGCATATGTGCAAGATTTTTGAACACATGCAAATGAGGAGTTGTCTGGTGCCTGCCTGTGCGTTACATTTGCATTTGTTTTTGTATGTGGTGTCTGGGGTAAAAACAGAATCAATTCGTCGTAGCGCAAGCATGGCGTGAGTTACGAAAACATGATTTTATTTTAATTAAACTGTTACGATCTTAACGAGACAACATGCAGTATCACATTTCATATTAATATTAACAAACTGGAAAGGAAATGAATATTTTCGAGAAGGCGAGGACGAATGATCGCGAAAACACGTACTGTACTGCAGGTTGTGAATAACAACACCAAGTACACGATATAAATCCATTTCTAGCCAACTGTGGTATCGAATCAGGATGCAGGAAGGAAGTTTCCTATCCAGGGTTTACTATTGGAAACAAGGTTGGAAATAAAGTAAGCACTGGGGACGAGGTTGCATGATAGGCCCTACCCACAGCCAATAAATACAGGGTGTACTTCCCTAACATTTCTGCAACCCGAGGTTGCCATAATTCCTCTTTATTTCCTCTGACCTGGTTATGGATGTGTAATCATGTGTTAAATTTACGCCCAATTTGGCATAAATCTGCAGTGATTACATGTAAACTAATGGCTGGCACTTTCAACATGACTGTTAAAGTTTTAATGTGAAAGAAAAACAAACCCAAAAAAAATAATCAATTAAAGGGAATGTACAACATTTGCTTTTGCTGCAATTTTCAGAAGTAAATGGATTTGGAGGATAAGTATATATTATAGCAAATATTGTAACACTGACTTGTTTCACGTTTTGGGTTCGTAGATGCTGGAAAAACCAAGAAAACCAATCATATTCTTGTAGTCTGGTTCCCTGACCCCACTTAAGATAAAAACGGAGCAATTTACAGACTTTGGGGAATTGTAAGGTCAGAGAATCAGTCTAGCAGGCTTGTACCCCTTCACAGGTGTGTAATCAATTGCAAAGAAAATGCGGACGAACTGAATATGAAAAATAAGGAGCACTTTTTGAAAAAAGCCAGTTTTCTCCAACGCTGGTCGGCCGACCAGCGTTGGAAAAATACAGTTTTTCTTGAAAATATCAGCACACCAGGTGCCTCAACTTTACAGGATGCTTTAGACTGTCATTCCCTAACAATCCAGAAAGATATTTTGTGATAACTTGATCATTTGGATTTTTGATGTTTGCAAATGTTGTATCTTCCCTTTAAATCAAAAGGCACTAGTGCATTATTTTGGCAACCATATCAAAATAAATCAAACATTAAAAGCATGTAAGTTGCAGCACCAGTCGTCATCTTTTAAAAAGAGTTGCTTTCAACACCTGTGTCTTTTTAACCCTAACCGCCCTGAATCCTCCAAAATCCTTTTTGCAAATTGGAGGAATTTGCAGGATTGAGGTTACATGGCAAAAGTGCGTTGCTGATTTCAGAGGATGCACTGTGTCAAGGTCTTGGGCCGGACCTTGTGTTGTTTATGCTCAGCCTAGCATAAATTTAGTCCTTGATTATACTTGACAACCTCCGTACTGCTCCCGGATGTCACTGCCTCTGCCCTTAGCCTATTGACAGTCATAGCCGGAGGATTTTGCAGGATTCAGGCAGTGGTCACCCCTCCATGGACTATATTCAAGAAATAACGGAGGAATTTGCAGGATTGAGGCTATATGCTATTTTTCCATGGGGCCAATTGGAGGATTTTGCAGGATTGAGGCTACATCCTAGCAAAAAGGCCTAGGGAGTTAGGGTTAAAGGGGGGGGGGTATGTTCGGGTTTGATCATTGGGATGGGGTTGCTTCATTGATGGGAAACAATTGGGTTTGGCTCGGCCGGGACTCCCATTTATGCGGGTTTTTTTTTTTAATGTCGTGGAGATTTTGTTGATGTGTCCAGCCGCGCGGGTGGTGGGGTACAGGTTGGGGGTACTGCTTGGTTCGGTCGGATCGCCGGTGGTGCAATCCTAGCTTGAGTAACTCCAGCTGACATGTTCCATATTCATTCACATGTGAATGAATATGAGCATGTCAGCTGGAGTTACTCAAGCTAGTGCAATCCCATTCATTAGCACTTGGGATGGGCAGACATAAGAGATCAGGTAGTTTTCGGATAATCAAATGTGATTGTGTTGTCTCAACGGTCGAGTTGTCGCGAGTGGAGTTTCTCAACGGTCTGGTCAAGCTGTCCGGAGTCGAGTTGTCTCAATGGTCGAGTTGTCTCAACGGTCGAGTTGTCTCAACGGTCAAGCTGTCCCGAGTCAAGTTGTCTTCTTGTCTTGATGAATACTGCACCAACACCCCTTCTCAGGGGTCACACGGGCAGGGTATACATATCCTTCCTGCCAGAAACACCGGGGCGAATCCCTTCTCTTGGCGATAAGTGTTACTGGGTTCACACGGGACCTACAGCTCGAGTTGTCTCAATGGTCGAGTTGTCTGGCATTCATTAACAGGTATCCTCCTGCAGCAACTGTGTTGACACTTTTATTTGCTGCCGAACCCAAACCAAGCTAATGTTTGGATAAAACTAGAGCGGTGGAATGGCTGATATTTAACTAATTTAAGAAGAAATCACATGACATTGTGGGCCAAAATAAGGGTTTTAATTTATGCCAGATGGAAGAAACTCCATGATCATATTGTATCCTTTTGATCTTAAAACGATATTTACCAATAACAACAGTGTCCATGTATTCAAAACTAACCTTGAACATGATGGACATTTTGAAGAAGTGAGGAAGTGAAGAGATGAGCCGGTAGTGACTGGGCATGGAAGGGGAAAGTCCTGCCCCGACTGCGTGTCATGGGTAGGGATGATACATTATCCTCAGGAGAACTGTCGTCTGAATCCTGGCCAATATTTAAGTCCATCATCATCCCAGGTATATTGAGACTTCTGCTGCCACTACTGCTTGCTCCCTCATGCGAACAGTTGCCTAGCGACCGTGCTCTGCTTCTGGAATGCTGTTGGGATGTTAGTACTGGCGCTGCATAGGAAGTACTACCTGTCATAGTTGAGCTCGGGTAAGACCCTCGTTGATGATAAGATTGGTGACCATTTGCTTGACTTGTACTGCTCCCCATTGCCAGGTGAGGATGCACAGATGGGCTATGCCTATGTGAGTTATCTTGTTCACCAAGTCCGCTATCGGCATAGGATGGGTCGTGCACTACTTGATGCGAAATTGGACCGCCATAGTTCATCCTTACTCTTGGACTAGAACTCACTTTTTGCCCCATCACAAGTCAATTTTTTGAATTCCTAATTCAAAAATGGAGCAGAAGTAGATATCAGTGACCCGAACGCGTACAGCAGGCTAGGCCTGGGCCTATATTCATTGGTGGTTCAGACTTGACAGTACATTCATGTGCTGGCTGTTGAGTACATCAACAATTAATTAAACAAGCTAGGAATGACCACGACTACATGTGTATGATTCATCCAAGGTATATGCCTAGCCCAGCACTGCATGAATGCTGAACTTTATGCTGTTAAAATCATAAACGTCGCGGCAAGTACATCGTGGGGTTATTTTTAAGATGCCGACACAATTTGTGAAGAATAAATTCATGATGCACATCCACATTGTCATGATTGTCCACACACGGATTCTACTGCCGTATGCTGTGCCGACCATCAACGCTCCTGGCCTATCCGTGGTGGTACAAATGCCACAGTATCCATGGTACTTGTTAGCACTATGTCTGTGGTGATGTTGTCGAATAGGTAACCCCAAAAATTCATCAAACAAATGTAGATTTCACCCAAATAACACCACATCTACATAACTTCCTCGTTTCGCCCTCTCTGTTTATGTTGCGTATGTACATGTACAGATGTACATGACGTATGTTACGTACATATAGTACATACACATAATACATGTAATAATACGTACAGCGAAGGTGTGTGTACGTGTGGGGGGAGATCGGACACTGGGTCTTTTTTGTACAGTGACCCGTGAAACATAATGACGTCATTAAATTGGGCTATGAGGAAGGGCGCCCCTGGCGTTAGATAGGTAAACGCGTGAGTGATTACGCAGATTATTTTACGTTCGCTTTGAAGTTCATCAATGCTGAGGCTAGGCAACACTAGGCCTACTTGATGATAGGCCTACTTGACTTTAGGGCATAATATTAGTCATTTTTGGATCGTTACTGTGTACTCATAATTAATCCCCAAAATACTCTTTTCAAAAAATATAAAAAAAATATATATATACTATAGGAATAAATATATTACACGTAGGTATTAAAAATTTATGCCAATTAGGCATCCTTCCAAAAGAATTTGGAACCCCTTCTAAATATCTTCTGTAGGGCTATAAGAATCTATTTGCTAAGTTTGGTGCTTTGAACCAGTCGGTCACGATCTTGTCAAAAATTCAGGGCTAAGCCAAGTCGCTTATCTCCAGCTGTCCAAGTCCATGGAAGAAAATCTCGCCGAGTTCATGGCATCCAATTTTCATATCACGCTGCGCCGACGGATGCAACTGACAAACAGAAGTCGATGGACTACCAGGTAGGCCCGGATTACCAAATAGGCACTGTGCCTATAGGGCCTACGAAAAATTCGAGGGCCTATACGAAATATTCGGGAGCCTACGAAAATGTTGGGGGCCTACAAAAATACCGCAGTGTGCCATAAAACACATAATAGGCCTGCCAACATGCACTCACGCGCAAAAAAAAAAAAAAAAAAAAGTTTTTAAACAGTTTAGGGTCCCTCGGAATTTTCGATTTCACTAACTGGCGCTATACAATGTAGGCCTACATCATGTACAGGCGTCATGTAGGCCTATACTTATATAATTTACCATGGGCGTCGATGGGGGGGGGGGGCATAACGTTACCCCTCCCAAACTATTTTCGTCCCCCAATAAACGAAATTGTAACCTACATTTTGCATTTTGAGTCTATAGCTCAGAATAGCCTCAGAAATTGCCTCAGATCGCACGACAGAGCATCTAGAATCCATTTGGTTTTCGGGGCCCCCACGCCGTTTATATTGGATGAAATTGGGGTCCCATCAAAGCGCTCTATTTTGCACTCGAGTGTATATAGGCATCGTTTTTCAAAAATAATGGAGATGGGCTTCGTGACTGTTTTAAGGGGTGATCTTCTTCGGATTGAAATTTCTCCCAACATTCATCAGATTACCCTAAAAAATTTAAGCCAGAAAAGAAAGATAATGAAATAAGCTTGCAATTGATGTGTGCCTTGAACAACTTCATTGATTGCGAGTATTTGTCCTGAATTTCTTTTTTTTATGGAAATGCATACATTCCATACCGGATGTCTTTTTCATTGTGGACCATGTGGACAAATTTCAGCCTCGCATAATATTCTCCTTTTTGTAAAAAAAATCTGGAAAAGGAAAGTACACTAGGATTCAATAAAGGAAGAAGAAGGGGAAAAAAGATTACATAAGAAATTACTTATAAAATAAATAAAAGATGAGTGTCGAGTTGGCCCAGTGGGTTCGAACCCCAACCCTAGAGTTGGAGTGGAGAGAGAATTTGCTTTTGACTCATATTCCGATCCACTGAGCTACGGCTCACCTCGACATATTCATGAGAAATTGGTTTCTTTATACGTAAACTGCCGATGGTGCAATGACTCAAATCTGATGCAAGTTCCTGCAACACGCATACCCGCCATTGTATAGCGCCATCATGCGACGAACAAGTGTCATTCTCCGCGTGAGCAGATTTTTTTCATTCGAATACTCAATTGAAAGTAAATTATTTATGTCCGGGTGCTAGAAAAAGCAATGAACTAGAGAAAAAAAGTATTTGGATCGTAACTTTGTATCACTAAGGCCTGAAACGCACGACAATGTTAACGATAACATGTCTCTAGCCCCGCCCTGCAAACAGGGGGCTTCGAAGGACTGATTGGTGCAGGCCAGTAAATAGGTCCGAAATTGTCTACGCCGGCCAAATCACGATTTAAATGCCCTCAAATTCTTCAGTATGTAAGCATGTTGTGGGCCATGATGAACTTGAGGGTTTGTATAAATAAATACGTGGGTGACAGCCGTGCACAGGACTGTGAGCTTGTAGTTAGTTCTGTGCAATTTGAATGAAATTTGGGCCGGCCCTAAAAGCGCTCTATTTTGTAATGGAGTTTTTTTTTAAATGAGTAAGATTTGAGACTTTGCATGGTGGAGATACTAAATAATGAAAGGTTTGCGGAAACACCATGCCGGTGCGAATAATTTCTCAACAAAGAGAATGGTTCTGAAAAGAACCAGAGGTATAAACTCGACCTTCCGGTCAGTATGCTCTGACCGTCTTCAGGAGAGTGCCTAAACTCTAAGAATTCAAAGTGAATACTTAAGTAGCAAAAGGCGAAATCAATGAAGTGTGAAGTTGCATCCTGTGAGGATGCCAAGTAGACAGGATCCTAGAGCAAGCTTGGTGCCCACTGCAGTAGGGTTGCAATGTCAGTAGAGGGAGGACCTAGGGTATAGGAGACCCATCAGTCTAAGGTGATAGCTGAGGACCTGGTATAGGAGACCCATCAGTCTGGAGAAGTGGGAGCCAGATGTCGTTGAGGTGAAACCCGATGTCTTGCGGAACTGTGTTGTGCTTGCGGATCTCGATGGCTTCCCGTATGCATCTTGGATGCCAGAACTGGATCGGTGCGATTAATAGCACAGCGGCTGTAGGCCAAAGTCTTCCCTTTCTAAGAAACATGAGGCTTCACAATGGGCGTTGCCTGAATGTTTTTCTTATTTGCGGGGCGGGGGGGTGCGGGGGGGGGGGAGTAAGCACCATCTTATGGCGCTTAGTAAAGGAATGATCCTAGCCTAGATGCATTTATGCTAAGTATATATACAATTGTTTTAACTTAATCACACTAAGAATTTTGTGATTAAACATTTCACTTTTGCATCCGTGTAGGAGTGCACTTTCCTACAAACTGTAAATGACAAACAAAAAAGATTTTTCGGTACACCGCGTCGAAATTTCGGCATTTTGCGTGAACAATACTTACAAATATAATTTTTTTTTTTGGGGGGGGGTAAACAAAATCTATTACATATGTGATCACCTATAACTGTGAAGGATACTTGATTTAGCCTATTAAATGGTACGTGTGGACGTATTGTTGGACTTAAGAAGTTTTGTCTGTACAAGAAAACCTAGATTATATGTCCTTCTGTATTAGCTATCGATAGACGAGGCGCATACTCAAGAAGCAAATCCAACACAACGGGTATATCTTTCAACGATTTTATTCATTGCTGAGCCCATGCATTGTTAAAATAAACGAAGTTAAAGTTGAAACCAAAAAAATCTTAACAGATATTACATTTGTCTCGAATTTTGGATCTCTGGATTGTGGATGTTGTTTACCTAAGAGTTTGACTTTTACGGTTACTTTTCATTAGCATTTCATATATATTGCGGAACATGAACACGTTTTGTTTGATTCAATAAAACTCATATCCTGCTGAAAGTATAGACCTGGTTGTTACATCCAGTCAAATCTGTCAGTTACGCGTTCTTCATTTTGTTCTGTAGCTGAAATGTTGACGGACAACATGTTGTGGAAAACAACAAATAAATGAATTGTTCAATAAATAAATTAAACAGGCATCCCACCACCAGAAACAAATAAATCCTGTCGGTCAAAGCTTCATATCAGCATCTGACTCATCTGTATCTGGGAAAAGAAACATAATTGAAAAAAAAACCTTCTGTAAAACAAATGAAGCCTTGTTTGATTGAACGTAGGTTTTTGTGTTATGTATGAACATGCTCTGCCAAAACGAAGTTTCTAATCCAAGATAAAAAGTTTGGAGCCTGGTGGCGTTCCTGTACGCCGGCATCATCAACATGGTCATAAGATAGATAGATAGATAGATAGATATATATATATATATATATATATATATATCTATATATATATATATTTTTCTTTATATATATATATATATATATATATATATATATATATATATATATATATATATATTATATATATATATATATATATATATATATATATATATATAGATAGATAGATAGATAGATAGATAGATAGATAGATAGATAGATAGATATATATATATATATATATATATATATATATATATATATATATATCTATATATATATATATATATATATTTAGAAAACAAGGCTATCCGGTTCGTTAGTAAAAACGGCATACACGCACGCGCACCACTGATTACTAGCGCCCATTGGCTGCAAACGCTCGAGCTGCGTTAACTTCCGGTTCCAATCGTGCAGAACGTGCTGGAGGTGACGTCACACTATAACGAACCGGATAAAAGTGGGTCCCTGGTCCATTATAGGGTCTATATGTAGTCGTCTGAGTCAAACCGTTTGGCCAAGGTGAGTCTTAAGGAAGTCAAATCGGGGAGTCAGTCAGTCAGGGAGTCAGTCGGGGAGTCAGTCGGGGAGTCGGGGAGTCAGTCAGTCAGTCTTTCAGTCAGTCAGTCATTAAGATAAGTAGACAGAAGACTACCCAGGTTGAGCTTCTGGGACCAGCAAAAATCACGATATGACTACGTGGAAGGTACTTACCGTGTTTTTTTTGGTCGCAACCATCGACGCACTTTATTCTGATTGCGTGTTCATTTGTCTCAGACGCACTCACCATTCACGCAAGTTTTTCCGCCATGGCAGGTCGGATAGTTTATATGACAGACTGAAATAAGAATGATAGAAAAAGTAAGGAGTCATCTCAATAAGTATCCGGGACAGATGCGGAGACGTTTATCCGAAACAGGCCCATCGTATCGGGTATTGAATGGATTCCTTCCGCAATGACGTTACACGCAAACTTCGCCACGGGGGAATTTGAAACATTTGAAATAATTT